TGTGAGCTGGCTGTGCACGTGGTGGAGACAGGTTGCTGGTGCTGGTGTCGTGGCGCTGGGTGCCGGTGCTGGTGCTGTGCACGTGGAGAGAGGTTGCGTGCTGGTGCCGGGTGCCGGTGCTGGTGCTGGTGCTGGGTGCCGGTGCTGGTGCTGGTGGTGTAGCTTGCATGTATGTGGCGATCTTTTTTGGTTCAGATAGCGAAGCTATGGGGTTCTTACTTCAAATAACAATGAGCTACCTGCGCGCGCTTTCGAGACAGGTTGCCGGCGTGGCGATGGTGCGCGGTGAAAACAGGGTGCCGGTGCTGGGTGCCGGTGCCGGTGCTGGTGCGGGCTGTGGTGCTGGTGCTGGGTGCTGTGAGCTGGGTGCACGCGGTGCTGGGTGCTGGCAGTGCGCATGGTAGAGACAGAGCTGGCAGTGTACGGGGATACTTCTTGGCCTTGGGCAAGTAAAGCCTGCGGGCTTTGCCGATTGTGCGCATACTTTTGTGCGCATAAACTTGTACGCGCAAGATCACGGCCTTATCCTTCTGCAGATCGTTGCTTCAAGCGGGCTAGAAAGTCAATAGTGGCGCTGGATACTGCTTGGCCTTGGGCCAATGACACTTACGGGCTTTGCTGTTTGCGCGCATAAACTTACACGCGCAAGATCATACGTTGTTATTCCCCAATGGGGTTTGTGCTGCAAATAAGAATGAGCTGGCTGCGCACGCTTTCGAAAGGGTGTCGGTGGTGCTGGTGTTGTGGGCCTGGGTGCTGGTGCTGTGAGCTGGCTGAGCGCGCGTTTAAGACGAGCGGCGGCGTTGGTCGGGTGCTGGTGTCAGCTGATTGTGCGAGGTGTCGTAAGCTGGCTGCGTACATTCTTGTTCCAGCCAGTCGCATGTCAACAGGTTGTGGGATTCTGCCTACAGCTGCTATAGCTATCTGGGTCTATGCTGGTGTAATTTTTCTCGGCCATGGCCAGTTTTGCAACTCATTCGTAAGCACAAGCTTATGTGGGGTAACAGACTGCAAGTGGTGGAGAAGCTCAAAGCACTGTCACCAGTACTCAAAAAGTCTGGGATGTGCGGTGATTTCATTGTTTTTGAGCCTGAGGACATTGCAGGAGGTACAGATCTTCAACTGAATGTCGGCCATTACAACTGGACCACTGACTGGAACGAACAGAAGCAGGAGAAGAGCAAAGCCTCACCTGTTCTTGAAGCTTTTGACCCTTGTACGGGTGAGTACAGCAATGAGTATTTTGGGAAACGTGCAAGAGAATTGATTACCAAATTGGTCGACGAGCTGGTAGGCGACAGACCCCTGCAAACGCAAAGCCCGGAAGCTGGCTATCGTGATTGGTTGGGATATGAGGCTGGAGGTTCTAGTTCTCGTCCACCGGCAGGAGTTGCTGTGCAGGCAAAGGTGAGCCATGGGCATGTTCGATCTTTGTTGCAACGCCGCGCACCAGGTTCGCTCAAGTTGCAAAAGCAGCTTGACGCAATACTGGCGCGTGATAATTTACCTGTGTGGACGCGCAATCTGCAACCAGCGCCTGATGGTGAAAGGAATTCGATGCTGAAGGCCGCGCTTGGACGACTCCACAAGCGAGGACACTGTCCTGAGGTTTTGCATGTTTCTGAACTCAAGAAGCGTTCTGCTTCAGAGGTCCAACTGACCTGGAGTTTGCATGAGGAAGGTTTGAGTGACTCAGACCTGGTTTTTGACCGTTTGCCTAGTCAAGGGATGCTTGATGCATTGGGTGATTGGTGGACTGGTTACTTTGAGGCTGAAATTAGCTGCAAATTGCAAGTTGAACTCAAGAGCTTTCGCCACAATAAGCGTAGCGGTGCTGAGGGGTACCCTTGGGCACAGTTTGAACGGGAGCGTTCGTGCAAGGGCGTGGCGCTTCTCAGCAGAAGCGAGAAGCTTGAAAAGGCACGTGCCAGGGCACTTTATGGTGCAGATGCAACACATTATGATTTGCTTACCTACATCACAGGGGGCAAGTCCAATCTTGAGGCCCGCTTGGCTGATAGATTGGATTGTGAGAAGGGTAAAGCGCCGGACGCAGTTTTGGAACACCATGCAAAGCGTGTGCTTAGTTTGGTGGAAGGGTGGTACAGTGCGGATTTGGACAGCAAAGAATTCGACAAGCATCATGCATCATCACTGCTGGAATTCGCGTATTTGGAGATTGGACGTATTAATCCGTGCAAGATCAACACCGCCTGGCTGGCTTGGTAGCCACAGTCAAGGGCATTGATCTGACCCTTGTGAAGGCTCGCCTCCTGGACCAGCTTGCTGTCGTGCTGGCGCGAGGGGCTGGACGGGCATTGCGCCGTCGGCGTCGTGGTGCCGCGGCGCCACCACATGCCTCAGGCCTTGTTGCAGGCTTGCTCCTGGAACCGTGAATTGCCGATGGTGGCTGTTCGCTTCTTGCCTTTCCTCTTCCTGGACCCCGACCTTTTATTGCATTTTTCTCTTGCACCACGGCGGCCGTCAGTACAGTGGGCCTTGGCTTCTGTTTACTGACTATGCGGGGACACCAATGGCGGAGACAGCATAGTCTATGCCTTAGCCCTGGGGGCCTCTGACCCGCTGTCATGGCAGCCCTTTTCGCGTTGCCTCGTTTCACTTTGTTTCACTGTGGCAGGTTTTTTCCCTTCCTAGAAGGTTTTTCCTGCCCCCCTGGCCTTCATGTTCCAGGTTTTCACTTGAATTTGTACAGTGTGAAGGTCTACGAGACGTAGGCCTCGTATTTTTAACTTGGAGTGCTGGATAGTAGTATATAATAGATAATAGATACCTAAAAAGCCTTAGAAACGAAAGAAAGAAAGACAGAAAGAGCAGCGCTAAGAGGGCAAGAGAGAAAGATAGGTGTAGAAAAAAGAAAAAAGTGAATACTTAGCCCTTGACTGGGGTAGGGAAACGAGCCTCAAGAGCCACCTAAAAAGCCTGAGAGAAAGCCCAACAAACGACGGAAAGCGCAAGAAAGAAAAGGGGGGGCAGGGAGGGGTTGTATGTCCATGTGTGTGTACGTGTGTGTGTATGAATACCTAGCACTCTAGGATTACTGACTACTTAGCCGAGACGAATTACAGTGCAATAGTTAGGGAGCGGGACTTTAGTCTTAAACCGCCCGGGTAGAGTAGACTAGAAAAGGGACAACAGAGGGAAAGGCGCCGACACACAAGTGTGTCGAGTACCATTTCCCTCTGTTACCCTAATTAGGTAGGGAGTAGATCGCAGTGGGGGGGGGGTCGGGAGACCTGCCTCAGGTGGGGGGGAAAAAGCCGTTTTTAAGCCCGGCGGCTGGCAAATTCGTTTTTGAGCCCGACGGCTGTATGAGCAGTGAATTCAGGGTAGAGAAAGATCGATGAGGAACAGTCAATGAAAGGAGGATGATTCAGTGACTCAATTTCCGGTATGTAAACAGCGCCTCCTTGCGGAGGATCACACCCAGCACCCATGTGGGACGGCTGAGCGGCTCACCTCACACTTCGACATTGGTTTTCAGTTAACTCAATTTCCAGGAAAATGGTGATGGAACCGAAAGGTGAAAAGGTCGGAGCAGTTGAAGATGTTTTAACAAGTGGTTTATGCGTCTCTGCAGAACTCACGACGGCATCTCACGGCGGCTCAGTGGCTGAGAGTGGTAGAGTGTTTGGGGGGAAAGTATCATGAAAGACCATGAAACAAAACGCGGAAAGTGGGGTCACAGCTTATGAAGAACTCAGCAGGTACACAGATTGGCGTCCCAATCTGCTTCACGGAATGGCCACAGCTGTCTTCGTTGGCAGCAGAACTGTGGATTCCCTGCTGCCCCCTGCGGCACCACTTGATTGCAAAAAAACCCCTTCGAGACAGGGCTTGACACACACACAAAATTGTCGGCTTCTAACTCTCAGGCTTGAGTCCTTCCCAACTTCGATACCTCAATGATCATTGCTGATGTCTTCATGGGAACCCGTTTTCGAGGGTCCGCTGAAAAGATGGGCTCCCACAAACTTGACAACCTTACTTGACAACTTTTGAGTTGGTATCATTAGCCTGGAGAATACTGCAAATGCAGGCCTTTGGCTGAACTCATTCACTCTCCGAAGGCACCACTTTTGGAGGCTTTCATGAGGCTGGGTCCAAACTGCAGGGTTCCCTCGGTTTCATCCGCAGGAGCGACTCATTGACGGAGCTTCATCCATCCGTCCATCCGAACGGGTGGTCTTTGTTGGGCGTCGACCCAGCGCGCTCGCGCCGAGCGGCTCGCGCGATGCGCTTCGCTCAGATCCTGGCGAGCGGCGCCGGGTGAGCTGCCCTTTTTCCAAGGTGCCAAGCGAGGGAGGGAGGGAGGGGATGATTTGGGGCGACGAGGATTTTGGGCGACCGACGGTGAGTACTCGTGGGGCGAGTTTGGGGAGGAGTTTGAGATAGTTTGGGGGGGACCTGCAGAGATTTTAGGACACTGTAAGACAAGAAGGAGTGTAAGGAGTGTTCGGTTACAGAACGTGTAAAGACAAGTTGAGTTGAGTGCACTGCTCAGCAGTTGCAGAAACTCTGTAACTTGTAATTCTTTTGGCCATGTAAGATATGAAGTAACAAGAACAACAGCATTTTTGGAGGACTGGTGGGGCCAATGACAAGAGGTGACAAGCATGACACCGTTTCTATCGCAGATGGCGGCACTTTGTGCCACCAATTCCATCGCTGCAGGGACTGGCTTTCGAGGACGAGAGACCTGGGAATAACTCCAATCACCTGACCTGATGGGTCCCAAACAAGGAGTCTGAGGAGCAGGCTAGCCTGGTCGTGTCAACTGCAAAGCAGACCAGAATGAAGCCACCGGAGAAAAGACCTGAGCAAACTGCTTATACATATGACTGGTAGATCTCTTTTGTAACGCTGCAGGTCAATAGCATGGGCTGTTCACCAAGCTGCTAGCCGCCGATTTTAGCAGATTCACCCCCGGTAGTTGCAGCGAAGCACATAGTATCAGATTGCACCACGGTGTCTTTTTTGTGAGCCCGACTTTGCTTTTCATCCCAAAACGACATCACCACTCGCCATGCGAAAAGCCATGAGAAACGCCATGCGAAACACCTTGACACCGGCTTCAGAGCAACTTCTTCGAGGTAGAGATGAACCTGGGCTTAGAAACATGGCCACCCCTCACCACTCAGCAAGTGGGTCCGACCCGCTTGGCGCGCGGGATGTGCTGCGGGATGGCCAGGGCCTACAGCCACGTCCCTTGCAAGAGCTGGCTCAGGTGGGATGTTTTGTGAGCTCAAGGGGGGACAACTCTACGAAGCAATGCCACACGATTTCAGGTTTCGGTTCTAGAACTTGACACCTTCGCTACTAGTGTTACTCACAACATCACAGAGCCTTCCTGAAATCTGACTGTATTTGAACGTATTGCAACGTTGCAATAATAGGCTGGCTAAATTCTTTCCGCAAGTCTCTTTGGACACCAGGAAGGCGAGCGCGATCCGGACGACAAGAAGGCACAATGCCTGGAGCCCGAACTCAGATGATTCTTTCGCCTGGAGCTCCCGGAAGTCGAGTTCAAAGAACGATGGCTTTGAAGAGGGAATCAGTGGAGCACCACAAGTCACTTGGGTTGGTCTCAAGAACATACCCCCAAGTAGATCTCCGGTTTTGGTCTCCCACTTAATGTAGTCAGTTGATGCAAATAACACACCCATATGACGAGGTTCTACCATCCAAATGGGGGTGGTTCTACTAAACAACAGTCGGTCTACACTACTGGGATTTTCAGCAGCCAAAGACAAACAGCCAGGTGTTGAGGTTGTGTTTTATTTTGTAGAGTTTCGACGAGCGAGGAGAGTGTGCTGGTTTTTAAACATTCCGTTCCCGGCTCGTTGACATCGTTCCCTTTTCTGACGCTGTCCACCGTTGGTGAGATTTCTACCTTCAGACAGAGTTCCCATATGTTGCCATGCTTTCAGACAAACACATGGAACTCTCATGAACTCTCCCACGCACACATTGTTCACATGGCCCATGAAAGGAAACAAGTCTTGTGGGAAGTCCCAATCGTGTCAGTCACAGTACTTGCCATTTGCCTGAAGATCTTGCGGCCATTTCCGTGTCCTGTTGGAAACGCGTTGTCCTCTTGCATCACCGTCTTCGCAGAGAGAGAGAGAGAGAGAGCCAGATGGCCGTTCTCTGCCTTCGACCGACCAAGTCCATTCGTGAGAAGGAACATGTCCCCTTTTTCTCCCGAAAGATCGAACTTGCCAAGCGAACCGGGGGACCCTGGTTTTTCCCAGCGAACATGAACAGAACAGACTACCAGACATGATCAACCAGGCTTCAGGCTTCATTCCAGGCTTCAGGTTTTGGACTCACAGCCAAGTGTGCGTTGGCCGCGAGCCCGTGTTTGTAGGTTGGAGGCCATTGCTAGGTTGGAGGGTAGTGCTAGGTTGGAGGCCTTGAATCTCCCTCCCAACCCCACCTGACTCCACGGACGGGAGACGGCGAAGTCTTCCGTGACGTCGAGAGACAGGGACTGGAGGACTGGACGAGGTGCCTTGTGGTTTCAAGAACAGATGAGAAGTGAAAGCTTCCACGACCTGAAGGCCATCTGCAGACCTGTTTTCCTGTTGGGCCGTTTCTTTTTTTTCTGTTTTCTTGCGGGAACCACTGCCTGGGGGGTGGGAAAATCCAAAGACTTGTATGACCCCGCACATGTCCGGAGTTGAGATCTTATCCGGAAGTGACGCTTTGATTGAAGAAGAAAGAACAGGATCGGTTCCACAAGTGTGGAATGTAAACTTCGAGCTTTAACATGACATGTTTTTGGACGGATTTTGCTCCAACATCTCCCAGCACGGCTGAAACCGTTGGATCATCGGTATGCTGCGAGAGGTGCAGCTGAAGACCAGCATGCGCGCCATGCTGATCCTGAACTCCGATGAGATTCTGAAGGCTGATGGTCCCAGACCTTCGCCGGATTTCCAGTCGTTCCGGTCGTTCCTGGTGGTTTCCGGTCGTTCACTGCATGTGAAATGCAGTCCTTTTGGCACATGGACTGAACCATGATGAACCATTTGCTGGTACCCAGACTCAGATCAGAAGCACCGCAGGTGAGAGGTTTCATGCACAGTGTTGAAAGAAAGTCTCCCTAGCATGTACCTCACTGATCGCCGTGAATACAGCAAGAGTCCTTTTTTCCACCGAAGGGGGGCAGGATTTCTGGACCTAGGCCGGTTGGTCTGGACGGTCTGGTGGTCTGGCGACCAGCCTGACCTTGCTCGGCTGGTGCGAAGCGAACCGTGAATGACCGGGTCGAACCGGTTGACCGACGGGCACCGGTCGACCGAGCGGTATTGAACCGCACGTTCGAAGTGAAGTGATTCACCGAGCAGTCAAAGAACAGTGATCCCGTCTCTGGGTGATCTGACGAAAGATGATCTACACACCCATGGAATGGCTACGATAGTTCTGAAAACATGGTGGATTACCTGAACGCAAGCGTGCCGTTGGACGACCCGCAAACATGTATGTATATAGCCTAGCTATATACCACGCGAGGTTATTGGTTGAGACATGGACACTCCAGAGCCCACAGTGGTAGAGTCTTAGCTGCTAGAGGATGACTTTATTTATATAGCTAGGAGACATTCCCAGCACCATGCCCGATCTTGCGATACCTTGCGTCTGCTGTTGGGGTCATTGAATCCAGTCACTTCAATGTCATTGCTCGTATCTCACTCAAGCCATATGCTTACATACGGCACGTGTTGGTCACGCGTTTGCACTTGCTACAGGCCGTTGAGTGATACTACACCGGACATGACCACCAGCCAGCGGATGCATGCACCTGTTTATCACTGGATTCCCGCTCACCATCATTCTCTGGATATGTTCCTTCGTGCTTGCGCCGCGTAAGCGCGCCACATGCGCCACATGCGCAACATGCGCCCAGGCCCTGCAGGTATTGACGGATGCCCGGAACCGCAGATGGATTGGGGCCATTAGGGTCTCCAGAAAAGAGGCAGGTGCAAAACAGGGAGAACCTTGTACCCTGTGCAGCCTGAGCAACAATAGAGCATTTTTTGGACTTGGCCCCACTGATTAAAATAGAGATAATAAAGAGTCTCACCACTTTAAGGAAAAACTCAAGTAGACTAGCAGCCACTAGCAGCTGTGATGTCCTTTTCATTTTAGAACCCGAGCTGGATGAAGAGATCGTCGCAGGGCTTATCCGTGGCTTAGGAAGATCGCATCCGTTGGATTCAGAGATTGTATGCTACGAGCCGAGAAGACAAGAAGACCCCGAACAAAACCACCCAAGATGCAGAAGACTCAGAACTCCTGACGACTCTGCATAGACACACACACACATATATATATATATTATATATAATTACAGACATATATATATATATATTATGCAAATTATAAATATGTACATTATATATACACCATTTAGATTGGAGGTTCTATTTTCACCAAATCAGGAGTGCCGGACTCCGAACTCCCAATTCTGGCACCGAAAAGGGCGCCCTTTGACCGTTTCGGGCGCGCACTCAGAGTCACGCGTGCTCAGCGCTCGAGGAGCGCAACTACCCCGTGGCCTTTGGATGCATCGCGGGCAAAGACCGGACAGGCGCCCGGCGAGCTGGAAGGCCGACCCCTTCTTGGTGGATGCAAAGGGATAGCATACCTACTGTCGTTTTTTTTTCCCGATGCAAATACTCCCGAGGGCTCCAACCACCTCCTGAGAAGGTGGTTGGGTGGGTCTGTGGGGGTCTAACCACCTTCTGAGGATATGGTTGGAGCCTTGGGACTGTATATGACGTACCTATGGTACCTGGCATCCACCTTTCTCCCTTTTAGGACATCATGGAGTGTTGGGCCCCTGATCGGGCTGACTTGTACCTGCCGTCAGAAGACACCGTCAGAAGATCAAGATCGAGCTGTGAGATGGGACAAAAAGGTCAGGTCAGGTAATGTAGACTCTTGATCAATAAGCCCTCCCATTTGAATTCGAAGTTCTCTTCATATGGGGGGTTTATTAATCAAGAATCTACATTAGACGTTCTTTTTAAGGAAATGTTTTTGAGGTGAAGTCTCAGGGGCCAAATGGGACATCAGGAGCTTGCAGAGGAAATTCCCAGAGACTTTCTTTGTGTCGATGGATGGAGCAGCCAGTGGAAAACTCCAACCAGACTTTTACGGCGACTTTGGTTGCTGAACATTGCTGAACAAGAAATTTCTTCCAAACACCAAAACAACTGAATCATACTGAATCTCTCCCACATGACAATTCTACCTTGGGTCTATGACTCGCGACCCCGTCGCGACTGCAGGGCTAGCTGTTGGACCCGTCGTGACCGAACTTGATCGCCTGGTTTGAGGTCACCGCCAGGCCTGTGAAAGGGCATTTCGAGACTCCAAACAGGCTACTGGGAAGACCTCAGCAATCCAGCCATCCAGCCCGGCAGAGGCAGTTCTGTGACGCTGACTGGCCTTGATCCCCACGCCTGTAAAGGGTCACTTAGCCAGGCCTGTAAAGGTCACTTCCCATGGAATGCTGGTCATCCTCCTTCGCCCTGGCTCCACGGGCTCGACAGGTCTGCTGGCATGTCTGGTGCAGAGCGCTCTGGGTGTGGACGACGAGGAGAGCGCCTGCCATCCATGTAACCATGATGTTTGCAGAGTGGCATCCACGGAGTGCAGAATGAGGGCAGTTTGGGGCCACGACATGCATTGCCTCCATGCTCCATGTCGGATTCACACCGGGCTCCATGTTGGATTGCCCGTATTGCATGGAGTGGTATGACGTGATGATGTGACGTGTGTTGTGACGTGCGATCCGGTGATTTGGGATGGCAATCTGTGAAGTAGACATGTACACACGTGAAAAAAACCGAAGCGTTCGTTTAGGTTTAGAAAGGAATCTCGGGTGCCTGGTAAACATGCATTCAACATTTCAAGACCACTTGTCACAGAGTCTACATGTGTCACCCACATTTTTGAACACCCTTGTTATATGTCACCCTACTTCTGTGCCTGGAATATATGGGTTCAGCCTCATGAGGTTCCTAATGTACTGTCTCCGCCGAGTATGCTCTACGATCGACATTGGCAGCTGCTCGTTGACCAAAATTGCAGGACATCATTGCAGACTATCTCTTTACCAACGAGGCAGCTTCGAACAACGGGCGGAGAAAAATTCGTTGTTTCGTCATTGTGATCATCGTCATCACTTCAACATGCAGCCATTGGATGAAGCATGAGGGCAATCAACCTGAGAGCATGCGACACAAAGAAGATCCCTCAAGGGTCGTGCCACACGTTGACCATCCAAGAGTTTCGCACTTACTTTTTTTTTTTTAAAAAAGATCTGGAGGGTAGTATTCGGGCATACAGTCTTTCATGCAATCTTCCAGACATCCAGAAGGACTGAAACGTACCATAGACTACTCAGACTGATGAATTAGCCTAGTGTACAGTGTACTCATTGTTCGTTCGTGTGCGGTCAGCCAGATGATGGTGTCTTTTCTTCATCCAGCGACGGGGCAAAAGCAAGCAGCAGGACATGCTGGTTTGTGGGCACGACATGTGCGTGGGTAGCAACAAAACCGCATGTAACAAGGGAAAAACCAAACTTGAGCGTTTCTTGCCTCAAGAACTAGCGGCCAGGGTCCGCTCATTGATAGTGTGTTGAGCGAGAATCCCTTGGATCGTGTGGAAAGGGTTGACCTCCTGGAAGGTCCTCACATATCCTTACACTGAGTGGTGGTTTGACCCTTACACTGATGCTTTTATGTTCAACCAGAATCAGAACGGACCCTCCGAAGGGTCACCTGACCCTGAACGCAGGGGGCCCTTGGACCCGAACCAAACCTTCACCGAGCGGGTCGGGTCCTTGATTCTGAGGGAACCTAAACGTTCCGTTGGGTTGAAGCCATGAAGCCACCGAAGAAAACGGCTGGAAGCGACATTTGTCATCGACTGTTGTAGCTGGGACCCCTTTTGGAGGCCCAAGCAGTTCACCAATTGGGACCTTTGGGTGACGAAAAAGTCGGAAACTCAGGGAACCTCTTCGTTTTGGAGGTAAGCCTTGTGGTTTGGAGGTAAGCCTTCCCTCAAACCAAGCCATCAAACGTTTGGCAAACACGTTTGGCTTCGTCAAACACGACAGAGCACGATGGGCAGCATGGCCGACTACAGACAGACAGAGCCGGTTCGATGCTCGGAGAAGGCAATGAAGGCGATGATGAGCAAGAAGAACTGATTAGTTAGACCTTAACGACGTAAGAAAATCTTGGGCATTGACAGCTTGACTGTGACTGTACATGTGCACGTGCACTAAAGTGCATCCGAAGGAAGGAAGGAAGGAAAGAACGAAAGCACGAAAGCACGAAAGAAAGCAAGAAAGCACGAAAGAAAGAAAGAAAGAAACAAAGAAAGAAAGACAGAAAGAAAGAAAAACATAAAGACATGACATGACATGACAGGACGTGAAGGCAGGACAGACATTTAAAGATTTCAAAGGGAAAAGCAGGAAGGTGTGTGGTTGGGACAAACCAGACAAAGACCATAAATACCTATTTAAATTAGCGAAACTCGGGCCACCTGGCCCGATTTGTTTTGCAAAAGTGCTGTGTATATAGTCAAATACCGAGGGCGATACTGGGTTCACATGAATCCGCAAGTGGACTTGGGCCGCCATGGCCATATTTGTGCAGTATGTCACGACCACTGGCTGTTAAGTGCTCGAGCTGTTGGTATCCATAAAGATTGCTCAAAATTTAGTATGCATCAAACTCCTTTTGCCCGCTGCGGGCTGTTATGGTCATTGGGGCTCAGCCCGTTGACCAGGGGGCACTCTGTGGGCGAAAACCCCGGACGCTCATACGAGGGACCCACTTGGGATGGAGCACGTACAGTCTGCCCTGAAGATGCCAGGTACACATGCAGCAGTGTTCAACCGTCTGTCGTTGAGGTCGTTGAACAATCGGGTCCATGGATCGAAGGACGTGGAAGGACGTGTGCGGAGTGCAGACCGCCCTAAAGTTGCACTGATCCTACCTCCAAAACCTCACCGGCCTGAAAACTACTAGTGGGACGTTGCTACTCAACATAACGAAGAATGCAGGTACAAGTCTTGTACCATCCCAACTCTCACCCGTCACTGATGTGCGTAGCTTCATTTGGCGATCGGACGCTTGGTCTCCCTGCCCCTGTAGACCTCGAGCTACACACACACACACACACCGCGCGCGGTCCTCGAGCGGCCGAGCCGAGCCGAGCGTCCGCCGCCAGGCGGCACAGCACATCAATGCTTGCAACCAGATTGCTGTGGCCATGTGGTTCGAGGAGACGACCTCCGGAGCGACGAAGCGACGAAAGGACGACGTCTGCTTCCGGCAGCGGACGAAACGGAAGCTTGACGAAAGAGGACCTTGGGAAGTCTGAAGGAGCCCCCCCTTGTTTCACGAAAAGGGGCTTCAAGGACTGGAGGTACCAACAGCCTTAGTCTATCACTACTACCAGCCAGTCAAATCGTTTTTTGCCCACAAACAGAGTTAGCCTTGTCTGACCACTGCCAGTGTGCCTAACCACCAGTGAGCCTTGTCTGTAACCACTGTTGTGGTCAGCACCAAAAAAGATCCAACTTGGCGAGTCGGCCGTGAGGAGCTGCGCATCCGCGATGTGCGGAGATATAACCTCATGGTACGGAGGCCGGGGGGACCGGCAGCGGAAGTGGGTGGGTCATGTGGATGGTGCCACCAACGAAGCAGCTGGTGGCTTAAGAAGAAGTTGTTTCATGTTGCTTCTGAAATGAGTAATGGTTTTCTTCTTACGTGAGAAACATATCGTAACTGCTTGGGGTGGATGTGGCACGCCCCAAATTTCAAGTGGGCCATCATGAATATGGTTTTATTCCAAAGAATCCACCCACCTTTTTGGAGGAAACAAGAACGCTACTAGGGGCTCCTGGCCTTACTACTAGGAGCAAAGGACGCTACTAGGAGCAAAGGGCATCGATACTAGGAGCAAGAAGCCATTAGAAACAATAAATACATAGAATTAACATTAGTATACATTAGTCGAAATTTGATTAAAGTTGAAACTAATAACTAGAAGCTACTAGGACCTTTTCGAGGTTTGGGTTTCCACACTCAGAACGAGCAGGTGGATTCCAGATGAACCTTGATTTTCCAGGGACTCCACCTTTGGGAGGGAGTGGTGAAAACAAGGCCCAATGGCCCCCGATCGCATGCGTGAATCGTCGTCGATCGAGCCCTCCAGACGAACTCGTGGGGACCATTGGTCGATCGAAGATGGGGTGATCGAACAGGGCGACCGTTTGGACCGTTTGGGCGAGGGGACCATTTTTGCAGGATTCGTTCGTTCGAGTGTGGTTTGCACCAAGGAGGGCACTCAGAATAGGGTTTTGTAGTGATGTACCAAAGGCTCAGATGAGCTACTGATCTGAGAGGGCAGGACCACTCCTGCAAGGTCCATCAGACCTTGCAAGGCTCATCAGCTAGCGTAATGCTAGCGTCCTTGCTACTAAGGCCAGCTCTGCCCCGTTCGTAGCTTCTTGTTCCGTTCGTAGCGATGCTAGGAACCCGATCGTAGCGTCCTTGCTTTCCTTATGAGCTAGCGTCCTAATGAGCTAGCGTCCGGCGCGTCAGCAAGGCTCGTCAGCTAGCGTCCAATGCGTCGAGTTCGTTCCGTTCGCGCGTGTCGGAACGAGTCGGTTCGGAGCCTTCGGGAGTCGTTCGGCCCGGTCGGCCGTGCGTGCGTAGGAATCGACTGCCCGCCAATGCGCAGCAACTGCTGGACAGTCCAGCCCCCAGGCTGATTGAACAAATAGGACTCTGCCCAAGACGGCGAAGAACCCATGAAACAAGATAGACATGATCCAACGGTGTGGCACATGTGAGCTACAGCCTAGGCGATGCCGAGACCCCCTTGTGGGAGGACACGTTGGGTCGGTTGGTCTGAGGGTAGAGGCTGCAGGTGAAGCATCGGAATTTCAGAGTTCACAGAGGGTTGTTGCATGTGTGTGTTCTCACTGCAAGAAACATAGAAGTAGAGTTCACCCCCTGTTTGGTCTTCAGAGAATGGTCTTTTTTCAAGGGGCCCAGGACGTCCGGGAGATGGTACGAATTCAAATAGGGGAGATCTTCCAGGCGTTCCGGGCCAGTTCATGGGCCAGGGGATCCCTTTGTCCCCTTTCTGTCATACGCACCCATGTGGAAGTGGCCTTAAACAGGGCTCCAAACAGCGCCGATCGTCGGCTGTTTCAGCCTTGTGTTGGGGTTCGAAGAGGGACGCAGAGTTCTATTGGTCAAGAAGCAGAGTGCAGCATATCAGAGTTTCACCCCCCAAAGCCTGGAGAATTAGGCAAATTAGACATCAATTCCCGAGTTCCTGGCGCTGAAGAAAGGTCTTTCGGGTGATCATGAGGCCTGGGAATCAACTTGGCATGAAAAGCCAGGGATCAACTGATCATAGGTGATCCTACTGTGGGTGGCCTCAGATGGTCTGCTGAGGCGAGAAAAAGGAAAACAATCTAAGTGTCCCTAAAAATCTAGGAACTTTTTTCATTGACTGGACCACGCACCCAAGTTGATCCTAAGATCCTGAGTGCCGGAAACTCGAATAACAGGGACACTTCATATCTTCCCAGACACTCTTGATGCCCCTGTTCCATCCTGTTCCCACTCTAGGCCTGGCAAAAGAACGTTTCTTCAAAGGATCTTGTTGAAGGATCTGCAAAGGTTTCAGCACTGAACCGACCCGATGGTGTCTCCAACGACCCGATGGTTCATCGGACCGACCCGGAGGATGTGAATGTGGTCTCCGATCCGGACGCCATCAAACGCTCCATGGCAGTGGCCTCACGCACATTCTATGGCATTGGCCTTCTGCACATGTGCATACATGTGCATACATGTGCTATGTTGAGATGGATGGGCTATGCGGCTATGGCGGCTATGATAGAATGAGAGAAAAACACCAAGATACCGGATATGCACTTGTGCGCTTCGGGGGGATGACACCACCCGCCCGTGGGAACCTTCATTCATATGTCTCACCTCTTCGCCTCAGTGCTTTTTCGGGGAGGGAGAGATGGCTCCGGTCCCCGGGGGGTATCCATATTCACATATATTCATCATTAGGGTCTGTCCTGTTAGCTGTAACAGGACCCGGTTTCACAAGCAAATCACTACTTTTAGACTGTCGGCCTGGTACCTAAGCATCATCATCCATTGGGCCTAGGATAGACTCGGATAGACCCAACACCCCATATTCATATATATATATATATTATATTCACCATTCAACTGGGAGCCCGAACTGAGATGGCGCGACTGACCGGAGGCCACTCCCAACCCTAGCTACAGCTAGCTGACTTTGCGACTGACCTGGCTGGGTGTTGATCGAAATGATGGCAGCTCCTCTTTGAACTGACACAGTGCGCCAATGAAATCAGTTTGGTTGCTCCTGTCCTCCGTAGGGTGGCAGTCTTTGCGAAAGCGATTAGATCATACATTAGATCCTTTGAACAAAAGCTGGTGAACAGAAGTCAAATTACATGTTCTGAAGATTTCCATGGCTTCGCGAGCGTTTGAAGATTGAGTCAAAGCGTTTGAGCTGTTTGAGCTGGTTCAGCTCTGAGTTTCCATGTCTTGGAACCGTTCATGTTGGCTGTTGGCTGGAAACGTGAGTCAGATGTGTAAAACGGAAAAAGCCACCGAGGTTCACAGAGACATCCTGGAGTATGTGATGAAGGAAGTCTTAGAGAAGGCCAGGCTATCCTTTCTTCCAAATTCTCATGGCCAGGGAGAAGTCCCTCTGATGTTTTATCGTTGTGTCCCAGCCTTGATTCCAGATATATACTCATATATATACTGTATATCACCCACTCATCAGACAGTCTCTCCGCGACAATGGCATGCTGGATTCTCTGATCCAAACATGCAGTGAACCCCAATGCACTGTACAATCAGGCAGAAAGGAATGGCGATCGCCACGACTCAATCGTGCGACCAGCGCCGTTACACACAGTTTGTGCTATGAAAAGCAGTGCAGAATCCTGCACCCAAGGAACTGCGCCAACCACAGCGCTCTGTGGCAGCACACGTCCATTCGATTTGACGAATGTGGAAGAGAAGTCCCCTGGACATGTCTGAATGTCTTGATTTTTGATCAAATACTGAAAGGCCTGACGCAGCATGCATATGACAACCTGTATGGTGATGGCTGAAAAGTCACCTTTGACTCTGTGGCCTAAATGGTGAAACAACAAGGCCAACTCGCAGAATGCGACTGCACTTCCAGGTTCCTTCTTCCATCGCAATATATACTGTATATATATATATTCACAATTGCATGTAGCTTGCGGATGCAAGTTTTATGTTCACTGAAGTTCACAAAATGTCCCACCGGGACATTTTGGCTCAAGTTGGTGGCAATCACCCACAGGATTGCACCTGAACTTTGGAAGAAACTCCCCAGTACATCGGTTTTTTGGTGAACACGACGCAATGGCGCACCCGATGGAAGCGGAGTATGTGATGATCGAATCTTTCAGAGACGCCCAACCAGACGATGGGGATTCGGCTACGGTCAGTAGCCCGGGCATTGAGAGTTTGGACCGGGCAGCAGATGCTGCGTCTACAGCCCTCCGTCATGCGGAGGCGGAAGGGGCTCGGGGCCTTGCCGTTTTTGGGCAGCCCGTCTTGGTCTCCGAGCTGGATGCTCAGGAGCAGATTCGCCAACTGGAGCGACACTTGCAGGAACTCAAGGTCCAGATCGCCAACAGAGAGGACGCGGACATGGGCGTGGACCTCCTGGGGCTGGACACCCCGGATGATGGTGGCGCTGGCAACCCTCCCGCTGCACCTGGTGCCTCTGGCCCAGCTGCGGAGAGGGTTGCGACTGCGGCAGCAGTGGCACCGACCTCGAGCTCTACTACACCTTCTGCAGCGGAGGCCCAGCCTGAGCTCCTGACATCCATGGCGGAACCGCCGTTGGCCTGGCCTGTCTTGGTGGAGCCACGGCCCACCGCAACACCTCAGCAGATGGAGGACGACAACAGTGAGCGACCGGGCCTAGGTTTCACGCCCCCTGCACCGGCAGGGTATTCGGTAGACCCTTTAGATGCCATGGCGGCGGCTCCGGCGCCTTCTACACCTACGGCGAAGGACCAGGCTCCAGAGCCAAGAGGCCGGCTCCACAGCCCATGGAGGAACCAACATCCAAGACACCTACCTTGCCGGGCTTCACGCGGGCCTCTGGAGCGACGATGGCATCGGTCCCTATGCCAATCCAGTTCATCCCGGTGCGGGAGCATCCACCCAAGGTGGTCCGTATGCTGGCTTCTCTCCTGAAGGAGCTCTTCACGCACCCCTTTGAACAGTACTCACCCTTCTTGCCAAAGTCTCCTTGGTGGGGATGCTGCGATGCTAGTGCATCGAGGACAGGTGAAGCCTATTTTGCGGGCTGGTGCTCGGCTTCCCCGAACCCCACCAAGGACAAGGTCCTATGGTTTCACTATGCCATCACAGCAGACGCCCATCCGTGGGCATTCAAGGATGGCAACCCTCAGAAACGCATTGCTGCCTTGGAACTCCTGGGCACGCTACTTCTCTGCAAGCACCTGGTTGCCCAACAGGGCCAACTTCCGGGACGAGTTCGTCTCCCGGTTGGCAGTGACAACTCAGGCAACATCTTCAGCCTGCTCAACCTCTCGGCCAAGAAACCTTACTCGGCTGCACTGCTGATGGAATTGGTTCTCTTCCTTCATTGTGAGGGCTGTAGCATTGCTCCAAATCACGTACCCAGGGAGTACAACACCTGGGCGGATGAATTGACTCATCCTGACTTTGAAGGGTTCTCCTTAGATTGCCGGCTACCGGCCCCGGAGACTCTCTTTGTTTTTCCTTTTGCCACAAGACTTCTGTCCTCAACGGGATTTTCCTAACCGGATCCGGTGGGTTGTCCTCCCGACCCTGTCCCCTGGCACCTCGACAGGTGCCCATTGGCCCTGGGAGACCAGGGACATTCGGGTGTTTGGCAGCGGTGGGCAAATCCTACTGCCTGACACACCCTTGTCCCCCTGGCGAAGTCTAGGGCAGTTTGAAACTGACCAAGTGATACAGGGTCTGGGGGAGGACCCCAGCATCAACCAAAGCGCATTGGAAAAAGGCTGCATGCAGCTTTTTGCGCTCTTGGGATCTTTTTGACTTCTGGGTACATATGTCATACATAGTATTGTAGAACCCAGAAATTCACTAAACTATCCTGTTCTTTCTCTTGAAAAGCTGAACTTATGGCCGGTGAGTTTTCTGTTTTCGAGACATTTTCACCCTCCAGGCGTCGATTTGGAGTGTAAGAGATGAAATCACACTCCCCGAAATCATCATGGAAGAGGATGGTCGTGGTACCACCGTCGTTTGGTCTTCGGAAGAGGGTCATCCGAGTCGTTTTTTTTCTGGCCATGCCATCCACGCTGGCCCATGATTTCAGGGAGTGCAATACTCTGTCAAACTTTCTTGCTGGGACCCGTCCTGACGAAAAGCGAACTCGTCCGGAAGGAGTTTGGCGGCACCTGCAGCTATCTGGAGTCCATCGGATTTGGCCGCTGGGATTTGGCCGGATAAGTCGTCTCGAAGGACAAATCATAGTCATAACCATATATATATATAAATATTTTTCAACCCAACAACATCCATGATGAACGCTTGATGCTTCACGCATGATGCTTCGGTGGCACAATAAGTTCCTATGACTTCAAACAAAGGCATTAGCCTTTCCTAGTTACTTGTTTTGACCCCTCATGTGGCTCCTACCGGTCGGTACAGCTTCGCACCAGTGCATACCAGTGCAGAAAAAAGAACAACGGTCAGACCGAGTGGCCCAGGTCCAAGGTTTTGCCAATGTTTCATTCCTTTTTTTGTTTTCCGCAGTTCCAGTTGATGGTCATTGAATTCGCTTCAGCGTTCTTTGGAAAAAGAATACGTCACCTGGTTATACCAGGTTTCCTCTTGTTTTTCGATCCAGTCCCTAAAAGAGTCCCAGACAGGGTGCCCTATGATCCATCCCGCTGCCGGGATTCGTCGGTTTTAGGCCCAGTTTTGGATCGCAACAAAGCAACGGACGGGTGTGTCCCACCAGGGGTCCGATTTAATAGACACCCCATATTTAATATGAATGTATATGTTTAGGGTGTGTCCGATTACCTGTTACAGTGGATAAAAGATTGATTATCACTATTTTAGAGAAAGGTCTGCAACCTACCCATTATCCACTGTTACAGCGAATGGGATATATACTCAAAACAGTCCGAATGACCAGGAAAGTGGAACGTCGGCATCACCTGCTGAAAAGCTTTTTCTGCGGGGGAGTGCGACTTGTGGAGCGGTGTCACAAGCGATTCTCGCGTAACATGCCCCTTGACGGACGGTTGCGGATCCAGCGGGAGATAGGGCGAAGATGGGAAGATTCGGTGAACCTCGGACGTGGGTAGCAAAGACACCAATGCCTGGCCGTGACACCGAGTGGAATTCTCCTTCATGGAAAGGGGCTGGAAGGGATTGTCGTTCATGTTCATTGTTCAATGTGTATAACGTGTAGACTGTTCATTGCAGCTTTATAATGTTTTTAAGAGCTACACATAAGTACGGTCCCTCCAAACTTGTGTTGAACTGATTTTTATCTGGAGACCTGAGACCGGACCTGTTTTTTTCCTCTGAAGGTCCGGAAGAGCTCTTTAAGCTACGTGTGGGCACCTGGCTTTTTGGGGTGGAGAGGTTTTACATGATGGGTTTTGACATGATTGTTTCAAGCAGCAAGGGACCACCGGCCCAGCACTTGCAATGCTCAAGTCAAACAAGGCTTGCTTTTTCTACTGAACTCGACCTGAGTTTAGGGGAAGTCTCGTTTTCGGACCCTCACTGGATAGGAATAGTTTGCTTCAATGCTCAGCGAGATCCCAGATACTAGTACACCACACTCCGAAGCCCACATCGAAGCCTGCTGTTAGCTGCATTTTCTCTTAAGTACAGTCGAGTAGGACCTTAGTCCCTTTTCTTCAACCAAATCCAGCTTTTTCATGTCCTTCAAGAGTAATTATAGTGTTAGGCTACCTGAAAAGCGACAGTTGCGGCAGGTTTCGCAACAGGGGATTGTCAACTGTCCTTTTTTTGTTTGTGTGAAGAACTGCTTCTTGGGGAGCTGCATATGGATATGAAAGGCCCACTCCTAATCCAGAGGAAGTACCCTCCGACAAACACATGTAAGCAAGTGCATGGCGCGGCGCCGGGGAAGACCATTGTCCTCTTGAAACACCTACTGTAATCACCTTCTGCTCCATTCGACTGAGTCGGAGTGTAGTCTTTGAGGGCAGCAGTGTGTTCATGGCTCTTACTGAGAAAAAAGACGCATCTGCTTGCAGCAGAAGATTCTCCTTGTCTAGCAGCTAGCAGTGGTACGGTGGGAGACGCGCTTCAAGCTTGAGAACTTCCGGTTTTGGGAGAGAAAGAGGTCTGTCAGACCCGCTGGCTGCCCCGAACACTCCGTTCTAGGCGCACTGCTGGTGGAGCCAGATCAGGCCGACGGGCTAGTTTGGACCCGGTTCGGCATCGAATAGTCCTTGGGGACTATCTCCCACCATCCCCAAGGAGGTCCCTGCAGCGGCAGGTTCTGTCCACTTACTGCAGTGCTTTGGAGCGACGGAGCAGGTTTTCACCTGTCCAAACTGCTCAGGAGGAAGATGGAGAAATGATTTGTGTTCGTCAAAGCCCAGAGACCTGGTTCACTGGTAGCTTCACCAGGGTGAACACCCCGCGGTTTTTTTCCTCAAAACTGGTCCACCTGGTCCACCGTGGACCCAGACGGACACGCCGGGTCACGCCTTGTTCGTGGACGAACACGCAGAAGACCGATCATTGCGATAGATCCGTGGTCACATCCACTGGACTTCACCAGTCGCCGACCTAGGGCCCAACCCTCGAACAAGGAGACCTGTAGAGTCGGGTGCTGGATTGGATGTTGTCATGTAGACTCTTGATTCATTAAAGGGAAACAAGGGTTTTTCCAATCCAAATGGGCCGGGGGTCAATCAAGAGTCTACGTGAATTCTTTTCACTCGAAGATGCCCATGTTGAATTCGGACGGCGAAAGTTCATAGAGTGACCTGTGTTCCCCCTCCCAAGTAGATAGAGATGAGAAGTCTATTCCTTATCAACAGACGATCCATCTGATGATCCCTCATCATCCCTTGTCCCTTCTTCTGAAGATACCGGACCCCTTTTGCAACAGACCAGCTTCTTCTGCCCCGGTGGGGCGGGGTCTGAGACGATGCTATCAGTGAGTCCACTCCTGAAAATGGAGGATTTGACTCCCAACATCTCACCAGCCTCCAAACACTAGGGAGGCTTCCTCCACTCCTCTTCCAATCCGGAGTTCTGGACGAAGGAAGGTTTCACTCAGCTCTGCAAAAGTGCATTGCCCGAAGGCTACAGCATGAGTCGGGAAGCTATTGAAGTTTTAGATTCAGCTGCAAGTGCCGCTATCACACAGATCTTTGCGGATGCAAATATCTGTGCACAATTTAAGGGCAGGAGTGAAGTCCAGTGTAGAGATTTACAGTTGGTGGCGACGATTCACCGGATGATCCCTTCTTTCAAACCTGTAAACTAGTTGAGCCCACCGGGGGCCTAAGCGGAACATGCTGAAAGCCAACGCCGTGCCATGAAATAGCTCATCTGGGCTGAGAACTTGTCAGCTGATGAGCCCTAGGAACTTGTTATGGTGCTTGCTGTTGCCATGGTGACTCTATTATTCCCCAAACTGTGTGGACACACTAGGGGTTCTTACGGTAATAGAAAAGCAGCTGATGCTTAGATCGCTGAAGCGCACCGGCATGAACGACTAATTCATTGCTAGTTACAGTACATTCATGCCTCTCGACATCGTCAATGTGCTTTTCGACTGCGTAGGCTCGCAAAATCTGGGTGTCCGCAGCGGGTGCTTCTAACGACTGCGCTCTCGTTGTGGCGCCGTGCGCATTTTCGCACATGGTGATCAGGCGCAAGGGAAACCTCGTGTGTTGGTGCTCCAAAGTCGACTTTTCGTGACAGGTGCAAGGGATCGGAGGTGTTTGACTTCGAAATGCACTTTTCACTTTTCGTGGCAGGTGCAGCACTTTGGACGTGGTGGTGCTCAGATTTTGTGACAGGTGCAGTGAACTGTTACTTTTGGACATGTGGCTCGATTGCAGATTTCGTGGCAGGCACAGCACTCTGTGACCCTCGAGTGGCAGGCGCAGCACTCTGTGACCCTCGATGTGCAGATTTTGTGGCAGTTGCAGCACTGTGACCCTCGATGTGCAGATTTCGTGGCAGGCACAGCACTCTGTGACCCTCGATGTGTAGATTTCGTGGCAGGCACAGCGCTTGGTGAACCTCAACGTGCAGATTTCGTGGCAGGCACAGCACTGGTGAGCCTCAAAGTGCAGATTTCGTGGCAGGCACAGCACTTTGTGAACCTCTAGATTTCGTGTGCAGGTACAGCACTTTGTGCGTGCTCACTCTCTCACTCCCTCACTCTCACATGCTCACACACACACTCACTCTTCACTCACACTCACATTCACACTCACACTCACTCACATTCACAGTCACACTCACACTCTCACTCACACTCGCGCTCACACTCACTCACACTCGCGCTCACGCTCACTTACTCTCCCACTCTCACTCACGCTCACACTCCCTCCCACTCACTCACACTCACACTCCCTCACACTCTCACCCACACTCACTCTCACCCACACTCACTCTCACTCACACTCACTCACTCACTCACACTCGCGTTCACACTCACTTACTCTCCCACTCTCACTCTCACTCACACTCGCGCTCTCCCACTCACTCCACTCCACTCCACTCCACTCCACTCCACTCCACTCCACTCCACTCCATTCCACTCCACTCCACTCCACTCCACTCCACTCCACTCCACTGTGTGCACTGGTGAGCGCGAAACGTCTCGGGTGATCAGGCATCATGCTCGAGCACGCTGCAAAACGGCAGCGAGGATCCTCGAGATTGCTCAGATTCCAGGACTGACCTGAACGCACGCTGAAAAAGCATAGTACAGTTTTTTGAAGTTTTCATTGGTGAGTTGTTATTGTTATGGCCGTTGCCGTGGTTCCATTTTATATGTACGGCTGAATCTGCTGACCGCTCGGTCGCTGGGTGATTTAGAGGCCGCGGCGATGCGAAACTCGATCCTGGAAAAGAAACATGCCGACCTTCGCGATATTCGCGCGTGAACACCGGTGAAGGTACATCCGTGATTAGGGAAATCACTGCTGAATGGAAACCGCGTCACGCGATCGACGCAGCCTTAAATCCCGAGCATTAGCGAAGTCCACCAGAGCATCGCGCCCGCCTCACGAACGATGCCGGCTTATCAAGTACCTTGGATGCGTTTGATGTGATAGTACCTTTGATGCGTTTGTGCGTGTGCACTGGTGAGCGCGAAACGTCTCAGGTGATCAGAGATCATGCCCGGGCACGCTGCAAAATGGCAGCGGAGATCCTCGAGATTGCCCAGATCCCAGGACCGACGTGAACGCGCTCTGAAAACGCCCAAGTACAAACTCATTTTTCTCTCTGGTGAGCATTGCTTGCTGAGTTCTTGTTGCAGAAATGCCGTTCTACATCGACGGCTATCACTTGAAGCCTAAAGGGGTCGTCGCTCGCGGGGTTCCTAACCCCATTGATGGAGGCTGGAAAGGGATTGAAAACTCAGGCAGCGTAAACCATTTGTTACAAGCAAAGCATCGTTTTCTCCAGGAGCTGAGTCCCGACATGGTTCTCGATGACGGTGCCATGGCCGGAGCGTCGCTCGGGTTGCCTGTCTACCCTGCGTGGGAGGGGAAAGGCTTCTCGAACGACGCATTTTGGAGGCACCTATGGTCGAAAGCCCCGCGTCGCAGCGACGAGATCGCCCTCGTGGTTGCAGGCTGCTTGGCTGAAAATAATGCACTATCAACGGCAAAGTGAAATTCGTTTGAATGGCTTCGTGTTAGCGCAACGTGTCCTGAGGCAATGACTTGTACTCCGCTGAGGGCGAGGATGATTTAGAATGGCGCATTCGGCGGCTGGAGGCACGGGGTTTTCAGGACGAAACGTGCACAGACATTCAACCGAAGGCTAACTTTCTATCATTGTCACTGTGTTTCTGTTCTGTTTTGATTTTCTTTCGATGCTCGCTTTCCCGCGCAGGCTTGGTGCGATTGGTTGAGTTGTCGATAACCGACATCATCCCCCAAGCCGACGTCCGCAACGCGGAGCGAAGACGCTCCTAATTCGTGCATGGCGCTCTCGTCCATGTGCTGACGGCGAAAAAATTTGCGATGCTCAGCCTATTTTTGTGAACCCGTGATCAGCCCATGTTTCTCTATGATTTTTGTCTTGGCTTTGACTTTGATGTCTTCTTTTTGCTTTTTGCTTTCTTTTTTTAGGACGGCCTGTTGGCTACCGGCATTCTAATCCCTTCTTCTTCTTCTTCCCTTGCCTCTTTTTAGGACATTCGCCTCGCTACAGGCATTCTACTCTTTCATAACGGGCACTCCTGGCAGTGCAGTTTTCTTGCCAATTTGTTCTTATGAGTCAACAATTGCCAAGAAAATTGCATTGCCAAAAATGGCTGTATAACAATTGCATCCAGCAGGAAAGCCTGACCAATTGACAACATATGTCAAAAAATTGAAAAGCAAAAAACAAAAAATAGAAAACAAAAACAGAACCCGTTGACTCAAAAGAACACAAACGTGCGAGAAAACTTAACATTTGTCAAAAAAGCTGCACTACCAGGAGAGCGCTCTGTGGAACATTTTGGACCCTGCGGACAAATACCAAAAAACAACCAAAAAAAGACCCCCCCCCCCCAAAAAAAAAGTTTTTTTTTTCAGAGGTTCCCTCTGGGGGCTGTGTCGAGAAAACTGCGCTGCCAGGAGGGCACCCCGTTATGGTTTGTCAAGACCACTACACTACTGCGAGGAGGGCACTTTGTTAACCTTTGTCAATAAAACTACACTGCCAGGAGTGCACTCTGCAAAAGATTCTGCACTTTGTGGGCAGTTCTAGAAGAAAACGAACTAAAACACACACCCAAAAACATGTTTCAGACGTTTGTCCTCTGTGGGAGGGTTCAGTCGTCAGGACTCTCATAAATAAACTAAACTATAGATATGTATATGTATATTTCTGCTTTCTCAAGGTGATTTTGGTTTTGTCCCATGGGGACTGGATTTATGTGTTCCATAAAAGGGATGCGCTTTCAAATGTAAAAAACCATTTCCAGGGACCAAGAGGACAACTCTTGAATAAGCAGCTTCAATTATCTTGTTATAGAAGTCATAATTCCAGAGATCTGGAGGAAAACCTTTGGCATAGACACTTTTATATAGAGCCTTCTTGATATAGAGATGATCATTCAAGATATTACTTGAACAAGTCTATCTGCCTACTCAAAAGCAGTGTTTTGACTTAGTTCCCAGCACTCCCAGGGCAAAAAACACGGCAAAACAGATTGTTTTATAGCTTTCTGTCATAAACTCACACCCCCAGCAACACCTGCACTCTGGAATTAAGCTAGTAGACCAAGAATCAAACTTGAGTTAAACAACCTTAAACAAGAATTAAATTAGAATGAAAACTGTTTTTAAATTCCATTTTAACAAACTGGAGTTATATAGTTTGGATTTGAACTAAATTTTTAAAGCTCTAAATTAATATTGAATCTGAAAGAACATTGCATTAGCATGCATGTAGAATTGAATTAGAACTGAATTAGAATTAACTAAAAAATTATTATAAATAGTCCATTTGTCATAGCAAATGGACAAAAAAACGCACTGCCACAACTGCCCGCTCTCTATTCTTTCCACCGTTTTTTCATTCTTTATCAACCTTTGTCAATGCGCCCATTCTCTCTGCGAAGCGCGTTTTGCAAGTTGCGCCCTGTTTCTTTCCATGGCCGGGGCAGATTATTGAGTTTGCTCATTGAGCCCTCTCTTGGGAAGTGATAGGCGCAATCCTCAGTATGAATCCACCCCGGTTCACACATGAATGAATTGAGAGAATCCGGAGCCTACCCCCCGCTGCCAAGCCCGAGCTGGATCCTGGTACTTTCGTAAATACCTCCAGCCCGAGCCCCGTCAGATGGAGCCCAAGGTGGGTGGCCAAGTCGCTTGTCGCAAGGAGCCCGGATCTGCCGACACCCACCGATCCGCGATCCGTGTCCCCCGCACGACCTGCCTTCGACTCGGAGGACTTGCGTCGAACGGATCACCCCCTCGCACCTTGGGTTATGACGTTCTGTGGATTTTCACACGTTGGATCGCAAAGGAGTCCCCAACTCGAACACAAAGATCTTGGAGCTACATCCCATTCATGTCAGCAGTAAAACTTTCCATGTTTTTGCATGTCTGATATTCTTTGCAGTCAGAACAAGTCACACAAACACAGTGTTTTCGCAGGTGCCGGGCAGCCGCTGAAGGCGCCGTCCTCGCCGTCCTCCTGCTGTAAAGCCTCGAGGCGGGGGAAGCGCTGGTGTCATGTTTCGCGGTGCCTGGGGCGCTGGAAGTCAGCAGAGGTGGCTAGGGGTTGCAGTTGGATGATGTACACTCCAACGAATATTCATGTGAACATGGTTGAAAGGAACTTCTGTTAGGAAGAGGAACACATAGGAACACCATCTTCCAGCCACTCCATCGAACAAGATGTGGATGAAATACTTGCCAAGAAACCACGACGGGGATCGATCAAAGCATACACACTCAGGACATATTTTGTGTCCGTGCGGGCTGTCTCTCAGCTTCTATGCTAGCTTTAGGAAGGCATCATACTGGTGAGCCAAATTCTTCTAGTTGAACCATGACATTTGACAGTAGTTGTTTACTCAAGTACTGATTTGGTTCATTAGAACCTGTTGGTGATAGGAATTGTTTTTTGCCGGTGATGATAGAGCTAGCTCTTCCGCACGTTTCCAGCCCAGCTCTTCCGCATTGCAAAGAACGTCGGGAATACTCTGGGTTTGGGAGTTCTACTAGGGGCGCACATGACATGGCCTTCCATGACCCGTATAGTGGTCCCCAAACAAACATATATTATATATATATATATATTGAGAATGGATTTGACTTTTCGATCTGGGGGGTCTAATGGTCCAGTGAACCTTGTTTGCCACGAGGTCCTCTATGTGGGTCAATCTTTCAGTTGGAAGGTATTACTGTCCAGACCGAAGCTGTGCTGATTGCTACTTGGTTCCGAACACATTGTCCAATCCATTCCCTCACGGAATGCATCCAGTTCTCTTTCCCATTCTCTCATCCGCCGGATGGTGCCAGGACCAATCCCGTGCCTTGTGTCACAGACTTTCCTGTGCCTGATGAGCAGAACAGTGGGCAGCGTCACTCCTCGTACTTCTCTGAGTAAGGCGCGACCCGTGCCATCTCGGGAAAGCACATGTTGCTGTGTAGCGGGTCGTGAAGATCAACATCCCATAATCTGGAAAATCAGAAATTGAGAAGATTGACGGAATGTCCTTTATCATGAAAGGTTTTGTCCATGCCGCCCTAGTTGAAAGATTTGAAAGGGGCGGAGGATAGCCTTTCTTCTGACTATATAATGGCTTTTCATGCACGCTCTCTTCAGTTCCCCTCCGTTTGGCAGCTTGCTACTGAACGTCAGGGTGAAAAAGCCCGAAACCGGATGATCGACGGGGGTGCTCCACTTGGAATGATCCATGGTAGGGCATGCTGGTGGGCTGGTGGTGGCCCAAAGGGATTAAGTACCAAAGGTTCCTGAAAGGTTCCCACGAATCAACTGCCAAGTTCCGCAAAGCAACTGCCAATCCTTTCTGGGTGGTTGGTGATCATAGGGAGGACAATTTTTGGGCGCTTGCTCCTTGGAGAGGCAGCATCCGAGAGGCATGAGCCAAAGCGAGAAAGGTGCGTGGCCACTGCTGTGCTCGAATTCGCCATAGATTAGGTCGACATGAGCGTCTGCGCCTGTGGCAAATCGAACCTGCATCTCTTTCGCCTCTTGCCCTAGTATGATTCCGAAATATCCACTCGAGTTCCAGCTTGTGGTGAAAGCGGCGCCGCTCATGCGCGCATCCGTGTTCCGAGAAAGTCTGAGACTCGAGTCGGAGACAAACCAGTAGATGCCTTCACTGTGAAATCCTCCCTGATAAGAAAGTAATCTTATTTTTGTGGGAGACGAAACATCGTCACCTGCGAGTCTGTTTGTGAAAGAAGCTCAAGCCGAAGACGGCAGCTCAACTGGTGAAAAGCCATCCTCACTCTAGAGTTCCTGAGTTGGCAACAGCTGCTTTCAATCAACCTTGGCCTCCCAGTTTTCACACATTCTGTTTTCCGAGGAACTTGCAGGGAGGCCCATGTTTTAACCTCGAAAAGTACCGAGTTTCATGGAGTGTGAGTTTCTCCAAAGTTCACTTTTGGAGCAGGCAGAATCCCATCACTGCGGCTTGATCTCATACCTTGCTTCAGTGCAACATCCCCAAACCCGTCCGAGACATGCTACAGTGAAAAACAATAGACCCCACGATACTGCAGACTCTTGATTCAGAAAAAACCCTGAGACTTGGATGGTAAAACCTCTGAAAAGGCCTGGGGGGGTTTTGATTCATCAAGAGTCTACACCAAGAATTCGCACCAGATGATTGCTTTTGTTCTCTTGTTGATTTGGGGTGGTCATTCTCCGTGCCGCGCCAGATCACCCGGGGGCGATCAGTCTCCGCAGGGGCTGTGCACGGGGGAACTCCCAGTCTGTATGGGCCACGAAGCACAGAAATCGACAGAAAGCCTTCTGAATGCGTCAACTTCCATCTTGGGAGGTTGGTATACTCTTTGGTCGAGCTCTGCCCTCATGTATTCTTGCTTGAACCGTTTCAACATCTACTGGAGCGTCGTCTCTGCAGCGAGTTCCACGCACTTGGAGGGCCATCTTGAGCCGATTTCGGTCCGATGCAGCAGATTTTGAGCCCGATCTGAAGAGATTCAATATAGATCTAGAGATCGCAGAGTGATCAATGCGATCCATTAGAGTTCCACACTCCAAAACCAGTATAGAGCTCAGATTTTGGTGAGCTTTCGAGCTCTAGCAACCTGCGAATGCGTTCAAACGACGTGCCTTGAGAAAAAAGCATTTGAACGCCAAACACATGTAAAGCGCAATGTTAACAAATTGGACCTGTCATGTACTGCCGACAGGATAGAATCTGAGTTCCCAATGACTCAAATCATCACATCCCTTCAAACCAGGAGTGCACGAATGTGGATCTCTGCAGGGCATGTTTTGGGCCTGCACAGAGAAGCAGACACCAAGCTGTCTCATGGATACAGACACGCCAGGCTAGTGAAAAAAGAGCGCAAAACAAGCAATGACTGTTGCTTGGGGTGCACATCGTTCGCAGATCTCGAAGGATGTTCCACTAATCTCATGGTTAGCTCGGATGAACATCTACTCAGACCTCAAAGATGGAAAAACACATTGACTGTGGCTCCTAATTTGCTGCAAACACTCAAGCCGCAGGAGCTGAGTGTCGGTGGGCACCGAGGGCTGGCGGACCTGGATTGGCACCTCACCTGGTAGGTGGGTCCCAATAAGCCTTAGATTTTTCTTAGCACCAGCTGATTTCATGCATTTTCTCCGCAACCTGGGGTCATTCTTGGGGACTTTGTCGATGGAATTGGAGGCCGACGGCCGACCCGCTGCAGTTCATGTGTTCTTTGGCCCACAATGCTGGCCCACCCTTTGAAGAATGACTGGACGTCGCTTACCATTGCGGACCATAGCTTGTTTGATCTGAGGAAACCCAGAAAGTAACCCCCTGCTCGGCGGCGTGCCTATCCAAGTCTCGCATGTCGTGAAGCCACCGTACTCTTGACATGTGCGTCATGCTGATTTTGACATCGCTGAGATATGTTTCCTCATGTTGAAGCCATTTTGGGCACCCCAAGCAGTTTCTACCGGCCAGTCTAATATACCAGGCTTTGGCCAAGGCTCTGAAGGACACAATCTTTGACACAAGACCAATGAACGAATGAACGAAGTGCTTGCATTCTCCACACCTTTTGCGGCACGACGAGTCTCTCAACCACCGTTGCCTGGCTAGACCTCTTGGACCTTGAGCGCCTGGCAGAGGTATGATGGATGTATAACGAAAGGCTTGTGATCGATTGAGTTTGGAATATCGAGCTTTCAGCAACTGCTTTGGCCGTCTTCAGCAATTCCTTTCAAAAACCGATTGGACGCCCGTGGACTGAATCTTGACGTCCAAATCCGCACAGTCACGAAGTCCAACAACTCAAGCGTGGTGGGTTAACGTGGATGGCACCGGCCCCGAGTTCGACTCGGATGAGCATGAAATCCTCATGTCCAAAACAGGTCGTGGGAAAACCATGGTTTTCCACTTCCATACGACACATAGAGGGAGGCAACCTGGGGGATCTGTGCTGTTTTTGGAAGGAATAGAGAGCACAAATGTACAGATGGTTCGGCTGCCTGTTGCACGTCCAAAGGGGTTGTTCGGTTTTGGCTCTCCCCAGTATGAGAGTGATAGACAGAGTCTTTGTGCCTTGAGTGAGAAGCATGGAAGACCAATGGGATGCCTGAGTAAGCTTGGTCAAGAAGGTTATACCCCAAAACACACAAGGTAATTACTTTGCTCACGAGGACTCGGGCCTGTACTACGGTCCTCGTGCGCAAAGTAGTTTGTGTGATTTTATGATGGTTTGGTGCATTCAATTGGTGCAAACACACATGGGCTGAGTGTAGGTCATCCTTCGAACACCGAAACGCATCCGCTCCGAGCCCTTCCCGAGCCCGAAGAAAAAGCACGTCGAGTCGATCAAACGTGGAGGGTTTTTTCCGTGATCGGTTCCTGTTCCTGTAGGTTTGAGTCTTCGGCAACCGACCTTTTTTGGTACTCCCTTCATATCACTAGGGCTCCAAGTACTTGCTGAGCTTCGGTGTTTGGGGTGGGGTTGGAGGGTCCAAATACCGACATTTTGGGTACTCCCTTCATATAGCGGCACGAGTAACCTAGCCTTGGAGGGCACAACGATGGCATGGAAGCCTACATCTTCCCAAGCACAAGAACTGAACCTTTTGCAAGTTCTACATTTTGCATACTCGCAACCGAACGAAATAAATCAGAGGCCCTTCTCAGTTCTGGGATTCATTATTTGGATTCATGGATTGAAGATTGCATAGATGCCAGCAGCGCTGCCGCAGTATTTTGGCGTGGTCCCTCCGCATCGTAGATTTGTTCGACCTCAACCCTTGCCGTGGATCAATGTAGACAGGGAAGGATGACCCAGCGCTTCCGATGCGACTTTGGATTCTGCCACAGGCACAGTGGTTTGGAAGATGATTTTATTCCACCAAGTAAAGGACTTCTACCATATTTTCGGTTTGCTTTTTTTCAACTGAGGGTAAGCCTCAAGGCCATGGGAAAGATTGCAACCTCCAAACTTGGCAGAGCAGTCCATTGTCCTCAGTTGCGATTCGGTCGTTCCCTTGTTCATCCCGGTGGGGCGTTTCGCAGGTCATATCAGAGATGATGGAATTTTCTTGCTGAACATCTCTGAATCACTTGGAATAGATGAATGGATATGAATGGCAACTGGCCAGACCAGCTGGATTTGTATTATAATAGGGAGGCCTCCCAGTTCGACCCCCCTGGAAGAAGGGAAGTAGACCAGTCTACCCATTCGTTGGGGGTCTCTGTATTGAAACACACACACACACACGCACATGTGTTTTCAGGGATGGGATTGCAGGCAATTAGTCCAGTGCTTCAAGTAACTCCTGTTGCCTGTGACAGTTCTTTGGGCGTTTGTTCAAGGACTCTGACTGCACATGTCCTTTGTACAACTCCTTTGGGCCGAACGTAGTCATAGGTACAACTCCAGTGGGCCGAACTCCTGTTGTGCAGGGTACAACTCACATCTTTACTGCCTGAGACAGGCGCAGCCGCGCAGCTAGCCAGCCTTGGTTGATCACCTGTGGAGACCTGGGCATCCTCAAGAGTGAACCCATTTTTGGTGATGAAACCTCAGCAAGGCCAGTTGCAGCCGATTCATCATCTCTGTGCTGTTGATAGGGCTCAAATCTCGGACCCAGCTGCAAGTCGCAGTTCACTTCTTGGCTTTGCTTCCGAGCCTCCAAGCGACCGTAGGTTTTCGCGACACGCCTTTGGTAGGTGTTTGCTGGGTCATTCCCCAGCTCGCATCGGTGGGGATGACAATTTGTTTGTTCATCGCAAGTGGAGGATCTTCACCTCAGACTGGTTCTATGCATTTCTATACGGTTATGTATAATATATAATATATATATATACACGATAGGGAGATACTCATCAGCATGATGCCACACGCATAATCCATTTTTTGTGCAAGCAAATTCACACCCAGATCAACGGCAAGTTCCCACACCAGAGAAAAACATCTTCAAGATGGTCTCTTGCAGAGAGTTGCAACCATCCCTTGCCGAGTACAGCCGGTAAGTCGCCATCTTGGAGTTTGCCGAAATGATGATCGCCATCGCTCTTAGGTTGGAGGCCATCGCTATTAGGTTCCTGAAACGATTTCTTTAAACCATTTTTTCAAACACTCACTTCGCAAAGCCTCGAGGACTACTTGGTCCGAGTCAAAGTTGCGTAAGACATGGCAGCGATGTTAGGACCGTGAGGACTGTAGGGCACGACCTGTAGGGCACGACTTTGGGGAACAGAGGTGACCCGTCACGTGACCCGGCGAGTGAACTCCGTCTGAAGCCGCCCGGGGCATCTCCGGGCCTCGCGGCCTCGCCATGGGGTCAGGTCGAGGTTTGGGAAGAACCCCCAGCACTGATTCGGTGTCTGACTTGGGATTCTAGTGAGGAGGCTGTCCAATGAGTGGTGTAGCTGCTGTAGCCGAGGCTAAGAACGAACACGCACCAGGATTTGTCTGAGTTGCGCTGGGCATCGCGGGTAGATTGGGATTGCCAAGTAAATCGATTGGGGTCGGACAGGAATGTCAGGGAATGTTCGCATTTAGTTCCTCCTGGATGCCTAGCATCTGGCTGCCAACACAATGACCGCTCTCCTGCTGAACTTGGTGCTGCCTCGGTGAGCTATTGAGTGGGTTAGAGACTTATGATTCATCTCTATACACAGTGACCGCTTCAGCAAGCCAGGGGCACTTGGCTTGTCATGTCTTTGAAGTCGACCGCGAGCTCGAGAGAGCTCGCCACTTCTCCGCCCCTTTCGCGGCTCACCTGGGGCAGTTTCCAGGCCCCCCTACATACCAGTTGAGTGTGGGGCGTCCAGGCCCAAGAGACCAGGACGACATCGGCGAAAAAGGACCGTCGAACGGCGCCACATCCCCGCGCCACGAGACGGTCGACCGACGACCTCGTGGTCGAGGTCCGAGGTCCGAGGTCTGGGATCGACTTCGCAAGAGAGTCCGGACTTTGTCAGTGCCAATTACTGGTTGAGTGCGTCCAAGAAGGACTGGACAGTGAGATCTGCAGCTTCACTTGGTAGCTGGCCTGTTGATCTTGAAACATATGAGCAACAAGCTGCCAGAGACACCGGCGGTAGTTGAGTGATGTGCGAGTTTAGCATGGCCTGGTTGATGACCCACAATGTTCCAAGACCTCCTAGCCTTCATCCAAAGTGAACCACCCAACAATGCCATTCACATAGGACAAGTGGATTCCCTATGACCATTATAACCGACACCTGTTGAGAATCACGACACATTTGTTCTTCTTTTAATACGAGAAAGGAACAACCGTTGCCCATTCAGTCCATGGCCCGCCACGAGCCACGTGCCCCCTAACCCCACGTTTCGCCACGCGGCGCTCGCCGGCGCCGCCACGTGCCGCCACGCGCCGCCGAATGCCGGTGCACGCCCGCCGCTGCCGGGACATCAATGGCGTGCCGTTGGAGGCGAGGTCCGCGCGGTTTCGACGAGCTCCGCGGTGTCGAGCTCGAACGAGCTCATTGGGAGAAGTCAACTGCTCAGGAGGGGCGTAGAGGTGGCAGCGTGCTCTACTGGATGTCGGGGAACTCAGTGGTTTCAAGTCGCCGGCAGCGGCCGGACCTGAAAAGATCTTCGTGTGGACCAGAAAGGCATCTGTAGTCCAACGATGTCTTTTCTGGGAATCCAAGACCATTTTAAAGCTGGTCTGACAGTTGGTCTGACTATATATGACCCGATTGGGGAGGCCCGTCCAGTAAACCGAACCTTCCTTTTTTCGCTCCCCACCAACGCCGTCGGATCCCGCCTCCCTTCCGTGGAACCCACGGAGCGCGAGGTCCCGCGATCAACGCGCCCACGACAACTGGGCGCTGCTGAAAGCACAGGACGACGCGGACGACGCGGACGACGGTGGACGCGCGGACTCTCGGTGTCGGTGTGCCCCGGTCCGGTCGGTGGGCACTGCGGTGGACCTGGGATGGTGGTGGACCAAACGAAGAAGTGAACATGAGAAGCACAGTTCTTTGGACCGAGGTACGTCTCGGCCCTACTCGGACCCAGTACTCGATTGACACAGGCAGAAGCAACGTCCGATGGTTTTCATATGTTTTCATCTACTCTTGGGTCAATCTGTGGAAGTGTCCATCACTTCCAATCCACTTTCCATCACTCTTCAGTTCCCTCAGTTCAGTAGATGATCCCCACTCTCTGACACCTGTGACGTGACCTTCTGGCGACGTCGCCGGGGTCGGCTCGAGAAAGGAAACAGCGGTGTCTCAAGATCGCACCCTTTTGGGAACACTGCTGCAGGCCTGGGGCCTTTTAGATGCTCGATCACATATACCTGGTTTTGCGAATCAGCTGATTTGATGCTTTCCCGCAGTTCGGGTGAATCCCCTAAACACCCAATGGGGAATATGAGGAACTTGACTTCCTGGTTCCGGAAGTCAGCAAATCCAAGTCGTGAGTCCGGGACCGCGGTCCGGGACCGCCACGGTTCCAAGCGGGCCGGGTCCGCCAAACTCAGGAGCTGGCCCTGGAACGACGCGCGCCCGGGATCTTGGAAACTGGTCAAGTTCAGTGAAAAATCCTATATACAAGTTATGTTTAATAAGCTTATAGTCTTATTAGTGTAAGAGCAGCTGTCAACTCCAGCCTCCTTTCTTTCTCCTTATCATAGTCAAGTCACATCAAGTCATCATCATCGCCGCCATCATATCGCATCTTGCACTTAAATACTTTTCGGCGATTTGTCTTTTGATTTTGGAGATTATCTCCATTTTCAAACATCTTACCCCTGCGATGCTTTTTGGCCATCATGTCATTCTAGTTTTTGTAGGAGTTTAAACGAATGAGCTTTGCAGTCGTTAGCCTTGAACTGGTGTTACCATGGCAGAATTTCCTGAGTGAAACTTGTGGTTCCAGATTTGACCGATATGACCCCGGTTTTGCTTGATCCTCGTGCCTGGGGGTCTCTCTGGAGAACCCACATCCCACTGCGACCGGGTTCCGGTGGTTTTGGATGGCCTCACTGTGAGGAGGATGAGGAGGGACCTTTGATATGCAACACAAGAAAGATATATATATATATTACAATATCTATATATAAGTATAATTGTAATTAAGCATATCAATATTTGGGCGCTGTTGTGTAGGTCAAGTGTTGCCCGTTGATTGAAACTCCCATCGTTGCAGATGATTCGCTGACCGGTGGGACAGGTCCTTGCAGGTGTGCTTCTGCTTGGTGCCCAAGTTGCTTGGTCGCAAGTGATGCCGCCACCTCCGAACGTTTGAACATGGTCACGGGTGTGACTGCAAACGCCAAAACCCATAGCTACTAGCAGAGGTTGACAAAGCCCATAGGCTATCCTATGGGTCCCCCAGTACAGTCCTATAAGGTCCAACCTCTGTAGCTACCTGGACCATCCGACCATCTGGGTGTCCTGTCTAGAGATCCCAAAGGACGGAAAGAGTCCAGCCGACCCATGCAGGATGGTCCTGGTAGGTTGGGTCCCCTATGGTTTCCACCGTCTGATGTCATAAGATGAAGTCACGAGGTTGTCCTTCTGAAGCTAAACCCGGTGGATCTGAAAAACCGATCTGAAAAACCTGGTGGATCTGAAGCTAAACCTGGTGGATCTGAAGCTAAACCTGGTGGATCATGGCACCCAAGTCCACCAAACCATGGGTTGGGTTCCGGGGTGCCCAGGTTCCATGACCCATGGCGTGATCGTCAGGACACTCCCAAACACCTTGAAGATTCGCAGCGAATCGTTGTAACCAGCAGACGATCATGACGCCATCGGCGTGATCCTCCAGGGGACGATCATGCTCCCCGTCGCACTACTGTAGCTGAAGAGACCGCAGATCCCAGCTGTTGATTCCTTTTTTTTGCACACCTCTTGGTGACCACCCTCGTCATCTCCGTCCCACCCGCCGTGTTTTTGGGAACTTGCACTGCACGCGACATGCGCCGGCCGGCGCCTGCCTCTCACCGCTCGCTGGCCAAGGTTCTTGGGAGCCACCTTGAGGCACTTCGACTTCATGCTCCGTGGACTGGCGGGGGGGCGCAGTTTTCGTCGGTCACCGTCTCGACACCCAAAAGAAGGACACGAAAAGGCGCCTCCAGGCTGGAGCAAGCTGAAGGAACTCAAGGAACTTCCTGATTTGCTCAAGTGGCTGGATGATGGTTTTGGACTTTGAATCGAGATGCGACGGGCAAAACATCTTCAGAATTCTGGGGTCCGACTTTGCTCGCTTAAGGAGGAGACCTCCAAAGAGCTCTCGCGCTTGAACATTGGCCCGAGCACCCAGGGACGGAGAATCTACGCGTGGGGGCCGGGTCTGCAGTGACTTTTGGCCGGGCCGAGCTCGGATGGTGGGGAGGGGGAAGCAAAGTAAACGCCTCTCTATATCATCCAAATCATGTAATTGGTGCAAATTGGTTGACCTTCCTGGTAGTTACTTAGTTGGATGTAGTTCATAGGTCTTGGTCGGAGTTTTCTTTGGGAAGGTTTGAAATTGGCCATCCTCAGTCGGACTTGTCACCTTCTTTGGTTTGGTCACAGAGATCGCAGAGTCCAACACTTGGGGGATCCATATACCAGGAGTCACCTGGAGTGACAGGTGGTGTGGCTCGTCCCCTCCGTTCGGGACCGTGCAGTGGGACAGACAGGTGGTCCGAACGACTTACGACTTCGGAACCGGCCACCCCGACGTCCTGTGACTCCTGGTATAGACCTTTTTCGAACGTTTTTTGGATCCTTTTTGGAATTAGATGGAATTAGCATTGGTTGGGTCCAGGAATTCTCTACGAGAAGTTGTGTGGCAGATTGGACTTGGAGACAGGCCCAGGGGTGGATTTGTAGAGCAAACGGATCGCACGTTCGGGTCAGACATGCGAATCTCGTACACTAGCTGGAGAGCACATGCGAGATGAAACAGGAGTACTGCTGATGCTTGGGCTCTTTGGTCGAAGAAGTTTGCATGTTCATGACTTACTTTTGTTCTTAAACAATCTTGAACAACCATTTCTGAAAGCTTGTAAATGTTGGTACTCTCCCCACAAAGCTTCTAAAGTTGTGGTATCATGTTGCCAGCACCTTTCTTAGACCTAAAAGCAGCTTCGAATTCCGTGGTCCATTCACGGCCAAAGCATCGTCCATGTACGAGGCTTCCTCCTCTTGAAGGTGGGGTCGATCAGCCAACGCTTTCCCACCAGAGACGGTGTTTGCGGCCGATGTTAAGCCCATCCTGATGCCTTTTTGTTCAAATTTAATCCACAGGAGTTTGGCTTCATTGTTCGTGCGCAACATCAATTTCTTTGGTTTGCATTTGACAAGATCCAGATGGTCAGCTGGAGTCTTATTGGCAAAGACGGGGTGAGATGGGGGAAAGACCACCGTTCCCTTTTGGATCCTTTTGGGGCAAAAAACACCGCCAGACCAGTGGGGAAAGGAACATGGGTTGAAGCAGGAGTTTGACTGCCCTGCCTGCTGCGTCGTGCAGCAAATCTCTGGAAAGATTTCGGGCAAGTTGGTGGCATAGATGGCCTTTGGTTGATTGATCAATAGAGGGGGATACCCTGGTCGTCCACCAACCAATAGGTATACACAGGTATACTGTAATTTGTACCTGACACCGACCCCTTCGATCATTCCCAAGGTCGGACCCTTTCCCATGTCGACTTCAAGGTTTCTCTTTCGCACAAGTGTCTTAGAGATTCTGAAATGGTCTTTTTCCAGCCTCCCCTTGCTGTTTCAGCAAGATTTACATTCCGATTCATCATAAACGCTCACTGAGACTCTCCACCTTGCTCTGCCTTCACACCTTAGTTCTTGGGTTTGACCCTTTTGTGGTGTTGACTCACCAATGCAGATTTAACAGCGATCGGAACAGACACCTGGTTGCGTATGCTGAACCCGAATCGCGGAAGGGGAAAGGCTCAGCTGCCTTTGTCACTGACCACACATTCTTGAACGCAACACCCGCCCCCCTAGTCACTAACTTGAGGAGATTGCAGCTAGGATTCACGTGCGCAAAAAGGCACTGCACCTGTGCTATTCTTGGGGTGTTCTCTCCCGTTAGCATGTCATGGAGTGCCCCTTCTCGCCGTCTGTGTACCGCTCAAAGCCCCGTGCTCCAGGGCGAGAGCGTGAAAGAAGTGCCCAAACTCCTCCGATCCATCAAGCAGAAAGGCCAGCAGTTGGAGCTGGGGGAAGGGGCGGGCCTCACCCGAATGCTCACCATGCAGGCCATCACCCTACGCTGTCACGACAAACATCCACAAACTCTCCAGACCATTTTTGATTTATCGTATTTGGAAGGATTTCAGTGCCTCTAGAATGTCTATCAATGTCTTTCAGCAGCATGTTCAGACGGAACATACAGGGAAATCGTCAGATCAGTGGTGGACGTTGCCGATGAGAAAGACCTCAGCTGTGTGTTGTGGTGATGGTGCATAGCGAGTTTAGTGAGTTGGTTACTTTTTTTCCCCACCTGTCAGGTGAGGGTTGTTAGATTTTATGTCAGCTGCCGTCCTCCTTCTCCTCCTCCTTCTCCTCCTCCTCCTCCGGACCTCAACCGCAAGTGCAGGATGGCAGTGTTCCCCGCCGGACCTCAACCGCGAGTCAGAAGATATGCCAGATAGAACACCAGAAAGACTGCCAGAAAGAATGTCAGAAGATATACAAATCAGATAGAATGTCAGAAAGAATGTCAAAAGAGATGCCAGAAAGAATGTCTGAAGATATGCCAGATAGAATGTCAATGAATGTCAGAGAGATGCCAGAAAAATGTCAGGAGAAGATATGCCGGAAATAATGTCAGGAAGAAGGTCAGATGAAAGAACTTGAGAAGATATGCTAGAAAAAAGTCAGGAGATATGCCAGAAAACATGCCTGAAAAAATGTCAGAAGATATGCCAGAAATGTCAGAAGATATGCCAGAAAAAATGCCGAAGTAATGTTTCAATGCATGCCAGAAAATCTGTCAGATTGAAGTGTCATGGTGGTGATCACTCGAAGTAAGTATCTTTTTCTTATGTGGTAGGTGCGTAGCACACACAGTGGTGCATAGTATTTTATGTGGTGAGTGGTGCATAGCTGTCATGAAAGATAGTTTGTGTGAGTTGCAGATTCCGATTCCGATGGCAGAAAGGGACAGATCCATGCAACCACTCAGCATAGTCAGTAAGAAGTTTCATTCAAGTTTAGAATCGTCACCTTCTCCCTAGGATTCAGCCCAGCGACTCCATAACAAAGGCCCCCCACATGACAGATCTACTACTAAGCCATTGGGTTCCGGAGAACTTCAAAAAATGAGAGTTCCTCTCCAGTTTTCTTGGCTTTAGAATGATCTCTGATTTTTTCTTCGTTTTTTGGCCCCACAAATTCAACAAGGTAGGGCCAACGGCCATTTGTCTGACTTAGACACAGGTGGCTTTGGCAAATACCACACTCAGATGATGGGACGACACGACGATTTGCCCCAGGGCCTGTGCACGCCGTGGTGTGCGATATGTCACCGCTGCGCGTACCCCGAGCTTGGGTGGCAGGCGTGTGTTTTTTTCTTTGCACTGTCGGTTGAACAAGACTTGAGACGTGAACACATACATCTTCCCCCTGCAGCGCGCATGATATGCAAACCCGCCAGCTACCCTCCCTGCAACAATCATGGAAATGGACAACCCCGTTCTTCCAAAGGGCCATTCTCCACATCCATAATTGTTTCAGAGAGTGTAAAGCACCCACTGTACCACAAATCTGTGCCAGGGCCACCCACACTTGGCACAGTCACACCAGGAGAGAAGGAACCACCCCAACACAGATCTTGATCTCCTTTGTGGCTCAAATCCAGATCTTGGTTGACTCAGATCGGACCCCCCCCCTTCGCAAGACCACCGTCCCGGACCTCCACCACGCCCGGACCACGGAGCTGGACGCCGCACCCGCACCCGCCGGATGATGCGAGGCGTGGGGAAGGAGCTGAAGAAGCTGAAGGTGCCCTTGATCCAGGTGCGGATGGAAGTTGAGTCCAGCCTGTGTAGCTCTGCGAGACGGAGCGAGGTTAGAGGATTGTGCTGGTGGTCATTGAAGCATCCACAGCACTGCATAGCACTGAAATGAGGAAAAGGTGCTAAGTGCTGGCATGTGCTTTTGGCAGTTTTTTTTCTTTTTCAATTGGAATGATCTTGTGGTGCACACGAGTTTGTCTAGCATTATGAAAAAAAGCTATTGCTATCTCTGGAGTGTTCAAAAATATCTATTTTTAGGAAAAAAATAGGAATAAAATAGGACCCCAAAATAGGAATAAAATAGGGCTGACAACACAAAATAGGAATAAAAGAGGATCATTGCCTCGGTCCACCGACCTAGGTCCACTGGGGCTAGGTCCACCGGGGCTAGGCCTAGGTCCACTGGGGCTAGGTCCGCCAGACCTAGGTCCACGGAGGGCTATTTTTCCTAATTTTTTTTCGTATTTTTTTCCTATTTGGGGGGGGGGCTATTTTTTTCCCATGTTTTTCCTAATTTTTTTCTATTTTTTTCTATTTTTAATTTAAAAAATAGGAAAAATTAGGAAAAAATAGGAAAAAATAGGAATTGAAAATAGGAAAAAAATAGGAAGATTTTCACAAAACCCCCACAAAATAGGAAAAAAATAGGAAAAAATTAGGAAAAATAGGAAAAATAGGCCAGGTCCACCGGGGCTAGGCCTAGGTCCACTGGGGCTAGCGCTAGACCTAGGTCCACCGGGGCTAGGCCTAGGTACCCTGGGGCTAGGTCCGCCAGACCTGGGTCCACTGGGGCTAGGTCCATTTTATGTTCCTGTCCTAGAGTGCTGCCATTCTTTTCCTTTTTTTCCTTTCCTATTTCTAAATCCAGCTCTTTTCTTTTCCTATTTTTGAGACTCATCCTCTTTGTGTCCTTTATTTTCCTATTTCCAGTTCCTATTTTTTTCCTATTTTATTCCTATTATTTTCCTAAAATAACTATTTTAAGGTTTTTCAGACATAGCAGGCAGCTTTATGTCATAAGTCTAGCACCCAAAGACAGCTCATCTGCCTGGAACAAGCTCGTCTTTAGATGTCTTTAGTCAAAGGCAGGTGATGAGATCAGAGGCATATGAGATCCGGTCCGCCAATTTACACCTAGTGAGTTCAACCCCTGCAGAACAAGAGAGCGCAGCATGGTCAACCCCTTGCTGCTACAGTAACTCTACATTTTCCCAGACCTGTTGATCTACTGGCGTGTCAGAAACCAACCCCGACACATCGCACATGGAGTTGCGACACTTCTCGTTTGTCGTGATTGGTCAAGGGATATTTGACATGACGCAGATTGATACTTCTAAGATCTTCAAAGCGAGTCCCGCTTGAAAACTTCCAACTGCTGCAGTCGAAGTGCAGGTGGATGCCCACAATGTCGTGCCTGTTTGGGAGGCCTGGGGCCATTGGTGCAAGCATGCCTGGCCAGAGTCGCCTCTTTTTGTCTGCAAATGAATGCTTGAAAGGAGAGTTTGCTTTTACTCTTTTTTGGGCGGCACGTATTTAAAGTATTTATTGACCGTGTCTCCCTGCATACTGCCTTGGGTAGTGGGTTGCTCAAGACTCGGAGACTATCCATTCGCACATTTCCGGTTTCTCTTTGAGACAATTGAATGATGGCACGCTAAACGCCCCTCTCACACTTGGATAACCTCAAAGAATTCAAAGACTGATTGATTAGGCTGATCTCATGACATGCTCCTGTTTCGCAGAAGAACCAGGATCGCCGGATGAAATCTTTCTGCAGCAGAATTTCCCAAAGTCCTCAAGTTTGAGGCAACCACTAAGTGCCCAAATGAGCCAACCTTCAATATTGAATGGACCTTCTCAGCTCACATCTTCACAGGGTCCCGCCAAAGACAACATCCTCAAAGGAAGCGAATGCTTGTGTCTCTCTTTGAGGAAGCTCAAGCCGACCAGTTTCCGAATATCGGAAGCGAACGTCGCGCATCAGGCGTCTGACAAGCAAGAGACGGGCGCACGAACATTAAGACCAAAGCTCAAGAAACTTTACAAGGAGCCGCAAGAAAGCTTCAGGCTGTCGGAAGTCAGACCATACGCACACGCGTACACACGTGTAAGTGGAACAAGGGCCCCCCCGACAGATCTTACAATTGCCTCATTTCTGTATTTGTTGGAGGATAGCTTTTGAAACCGAACCAAGTGGATGGCGCAATATTTGAAGAGCTCATCAGTTGAGGATCCATAATAGCAATTGGTTGATGCCTGAATGAGACTTTTGGGTAGGGTATATAGATGGCGCTCCGACAATTTGAGTTGCACCATGTACTTTGAGGTTGGGCTGCAACGGCTCGCGTGGGTCGATCCATCCGAGTGTGTCAGAGGTTGAATCTTCCTGGTCACTGTGGAGAGCGAGTGGTGGAAAACCTGTGTCCCTCCTGAGGCGAATGTGCAGATGCGCACCTCAGGCAAAGCAGCACGAGTCCAGAACCATCCCAACACATTGGATCATTCCGATATATTCGGATCCTGTCCAACTGTTCACCCAGGATGAACCTGTGTCGTTGGGGTATCGAGCTCAAAGGAGTTTTTGGTCTCCAAGTTCGTAGGTATTTTTTGTTTATCTAACTTTGCTTTCCAATAGTATCAGCTGCGGGCAACTACTAGATTCCTAGATCGTGGGCACTTTTTCCACAGTCACATACTACATACTATGTGTTGCCATTGTAGTTCCCCCCATGGTCTATGTAGGGTGTATCCAATTCCCTGTAACAGTGGCAATATTTATCACTATTTTTGAGAAAGGTCTGCAACCTACCATCATCATGCCACTGTTGTTGGGAATGGGATATACCTAAGGTCTGGGGCTTCCTCAGGTTTGATCCCATTCCGCTCAGTTCGCATACAAAGCTCCCAGGACTTCCTCCACGAGTTCCCTCCTCTCAAGAGGCGCCGAAAAACCAACGTTCCTCGGAGAAACGGGTTCCATCGAACCGCGAAAAGGGCCGACAAGTCGAAGCGTTGGTCGCTGGAATTTTCCCTTCAGTTATTCAGAATACTTTTTTGACTTGGTTCAGTTCTTCTTATTGACTGACTTATATATTCAAAAGTTCATGAACCGAAGCACCAGCTGGGCACGAAGCACGAAGCACGAAGCATCCCGCGCCGACCCGGCACCCTTCGGTTTGAACTCCAGGCAAGGCGCTCGCATTTGGGAAGAATAGATTCAGAAGGGGGTTCTTTCTTTCTTTCTTTCTTTCTTTCGCAACGGACTCTTCGAACAAGAGCATCATCAGAAGGGGGTGGAAAAAGCATAACAAACATCCTCCCACGAGGAGCTGAATACTCTTATCCTCTCCCACTGGGCAGGTAATGACTGCTGCTAGGTTGATTCTGGCGAAGAGTCCATGGAAATGGTTGCGGGTTTCGACCCAGAGCCAATTGTGTCCGCTGAAACAGAAGGCGAAGCGCTTTGCCCCGGTGTTCTTCTCATGGAGATGATCTTGGGCGTCCAGAGGAGAACAATTGTTCCTGCCATTCATCACCCGCAGGTGTTGCTCCGAACCATGGTAGTGCCGTAATCTGAAAGTCAACATCCCCAAGTGTCGGATTTTCAACTGTACTGTATGGGTTCATTCTCCGTGTGAAGCGGCTGTGAATGTGGGAGTCATGTGTTTTCACCTTTGCGCCAGGCATCCGCATGGACCGGTGGTGAAAGGGAAAGGCCACCGGGGGCAAAGGGTTTGAGGGTTCCTAGATACCCCATGTGTGTTAATAACATTAGGGTCGTAAATAAGTTCGAAGGTAAGTGTACGCAGCTCTTCCATGCATGGATGGTCTGGGGTTGTAAAGGTCAATAGACAGGAATCAGGAATCATGTCGAGTCAAGATTCCTGGGCTCCGATGTGGAATTCAGCTTTGTTTTTTGCAGACCCAGCTACTGTATTTGGGATTCTATTTGGGTGTACGTACTGTGGGCCACGAGCCATGCCGGAAGAAATCCTGAATACAACGTTTTTTTTTGCTTTGCTTCATCCCCAGAGCTGCCTTTCTCAATGGCCAGCAGTTCCAATTCGCTCCAAACCACAAGTTGGCAAGACATGGCAAGACAAGTGTCTCCCCAATGGGCAATGCCATTGCTTCAGGCAGTTTTTTCTGCAGGAAGACTTGTTGAATGATTTTCCGTGCCTGGACAGCTTCTTTCCAAGTAATCGATGGTTGAATTCAGGAGCTTAGGCAGCTCCTCCACACCAACCCCCTTCGGTACCAGGCGACTCCACGTCGGGGTCCGGTACATCGGTACATCGGTCCGACAGTGAGCAGGAAGTGTAGGGTTGGAACTTGGAAGTCCCAAAAACTCACATAGACCCTGACGTCGCATGAAAGACGATTTTCCGAATACCAACCAGAAAATTCAGGTTCCATGGGATCGTCTTCCAGGGTGTATATACTTTCAGAACCTCTCACAAGGCGGTCACCGTCGCAGCCCAGACATCAAGGCTTCATGCGACATCATGAGAAGAGGCGATGTTCCATCCTTTTTGCACTGTCGCAATTCCCGGGGCAGAGGCATCAAGAGGCCATTATTTTCAAGTGATCCCCGCCCAAGCGTGCTTCATTTCGCGAGGATGTATTTGTACGAGTTTGTACGAGCAGACCTTTTTTGCTCCATCACATCCCAATTGGTCCTCAGCTTGGATTTGGGCTTCTTCGATGGAGGTTTTCACTCATCAGCATGACCAGGTTCCCACTGATGACATGAACTTCTGTTCCCCACAGAGTTAGACGGCCCCTGAACCCTGGCGCCATGCTGAACTTGCCGCCGATTGATGGCCGCAGCCGGAGCAAGGGCGGATCCCGGGGCTCTTCCAGGAGCCCCTTGTGCGTCGTCATGAAGGGGGTCTACTGGTGGGTACCGCCAATACAGAACCGATTAGAACCCATTTGACATTTGTGTGGACACGAAACCATTTTGGGCTTCCAACCTGGGATCACTCTGGTTCTAGCTAAGCATGGGTTGTTGGATGAACACCTCCAGAGTTCATGATGACCACCAGGTGTGGGTATGTGTTGGTGTCCTTTTCCACTGGATTCACAGAATTCGCAGGAGAGGGTAAAACAGCAACTGGCGACTTTGTGGCTCAAAAAAGGGCTACACCGTCTACATTCCCCCAACTTCTTGGAACAAGGAGGAACAAAAAGCGACGTACTCTGCCGCAAACTAACATGGAACCTGAGAATTGACCGGTGGAAGAGCATTTTTTCCCCTGCAACCGAGTGGTTTGTGGGTTTCATGTTAATCTGCAGGGGAGTATATAAACCTTTTAGAACGACATACCGTAACACTCCGACTCACCAACATGGAAGTGCAACATGGCGCGACATGGGAAAAGACGACCTTTCCCTACCTTTCTTTTAAAAACACATGGGTCGTTTTCCATGAACCGCGAGAGGCCACACGGTGTGACCATGCTCGTGTGCTACACATGGCGTGTACCACACCCCGAGGAGCCCGACGCCTGTGGAGCCGGATCGGTCGACGTCCCTTAAGGACTGGGGAGCAGAACCCGGGGGGGTTGGGGGTGTGAAGGGGGGACTGGGTCACTGGTTATCAGGCATTTTGGGGAGTCGCCTTTGGGGCTTGGATTGGGTGGATGCCTGTAAACACTGGACGCTGAGGTGCCAAGATGAAGGACGTTCAAGGTTTTGCCGTTGGTCCATGCTCGCTCTTGGAGGGGTCTTGTAGAAACCCTCAGCAGCTTACTGCTTCCAAGAAACACGAGCGACCGGGACCCGACCTGCGCGGGACCGGAACAAGTCTCAGTCGCATTTGCACGATCGAAGTCATGCACTGAGAAGCGTGACCTGCTGCCCTGGTAGGGGCCATCTCAGAATGAGGTCTTCATATATGTCTGACAATCATACCATGCTTCGCTGGTAGTTTCGAGCGACCAAATACCGTGTTCTCCGACCTGTATGCAGCACGGGAGGACTTCAATGTCTGATTCGCAAAGTAGATAGAACTGTTAACCCCGCTGAAAAGGAAACCTGGACCCTGAAAACCATCTTGGGGAGCTCGACTCGGAGCTCAAAGATTTCTTAAGATCAAAGATGGAGCGGCATGTCCTGTGTATATATAATACATAATAATACATATAATATATAATACAATATATATATATAGATATGTATCCCACTTTTTTGACAGAACACTCCGGTGGATTGTTTGAAAAGAAACACTGGTCGTACACATGGGTAGAATGAGGCATGGTCGTTGCACAGGTTGGACCGTCGACCCGGTTGGACCGTCATTTTCCTTCACCCGGCTGATGTGTCATAAAGACTCTTGACCCTGTTGTGCCATACAAACCTGATGCGCATTTGCAGGTAGGGCACTTGGGGGAAGTAGGGCACTGCTTGGCGCAAAAAAACAGGGTCACTGTGCAGATGTCATTGTTGCGCCTGGGAACCCCCAGAAACTTCTTTCGGTGAGGTTTGATGTTTCATTTTGCCTGTGCTAGGTCCATTGGTAACTAGGGCCAGGGGTCTGGGAGAGGGGTGCACTCAAGAACACAGCCTGCAAGGGCACACAGCTCAAGAACCAGATCAAGGTGGGCCGTGCAAAGCCAGAGCGTTTCTGCAGCGTTTCGACCATGGAATGGGAGATCAAAGCAGAAGAGGTTTTCCGCCCGACGAAGATTCACAAAATGACTATCCCTAGGTCCCTAGGGCTCCAGTTCTACCTTCTCAGAAGGTATTTGGACCATCCCAAACCCGCACGAGTCAGCAGAGGCATCTCATGGACAGAACTCGCAACCTCATTCATGTTATATGTACATATCATATATATGTATATATACATACACATTATTAACACACACACACACATATATATATATTATACATATAAATGTATACAGAGGGGCACCCAGTTGCCCATTCGACCACCTCATGGATGCGGGATATCGAACCTCTCCAGAGTAACAAAACCGCCACGAAACTGCCACGATCCCTCCGAAGGCAATCAGAAACACCGAGAGTCGTCATATAAACACTGCAGTGCATTCACACAGACTCCAGTTGTACCCAAAAATCAGAAGCAAGGAGCAAAGGCCTACCAAGCCTATGCTTCAAAGCATGCAGACACTTCGCAATATCCCATCCATTCATCCTTGACGTGTGCAACCCCAGATTCCCATACAATCCATGACAGAATCCCGTTTGTAACAGAAAATCATATCAAGCACGCATTCATAACCTCAAGAAAGGCAACATTGATACGATACCTGATCCCTTCCCAAGTAGATGTCCCCAAGTAGATGTGTAATTGACAAAGTCAACCATCCCCTACAACGCTGGCTTTCGACCACTTCAGCTGACCGATGTGCATGTGTTCCTCTCTTGGCTTACCCAAGAACCAGCATTCGTAAGTATTTGGTGTCATGAACAGGGCTTCCATACATGTATTGCATGCCACATGATGTGATGCATACTGTCGCATGGTCCATGCACACCGCTCCCTCTGTACCTACTGCGTTTTTGGGCAAAGGGCCTGTGAAGTTGAAGCGTTCAGGTATGCGCGCATGTCACAAGAGAGTTCTGAGGAGGTGTGCGGACCCTAGAATATTATGGTTCACAAATTCAGACCAAGGAACCCACAGGCCGGTTTGGACATGTTTCATGTTTTCTTTCCTGGGTGAGGTTTGGACACTTGATTGGCTGTAGCCGTGACACCAAAGCCAAGGGTCCCAAGGTCAAGGGTCTTGGGATTTGCAAGGAGGTTGCCCATGCAAATTGAGATAATATATATATATATATATGAATACCCTAGCCTTCCAGGACCCTTGAACAAGGCTATAGTAAATGGTTCATCATATGATCGCAAGTAAACACACCGGTTTCATTGGTCCTTTTACGGAAGAAACACATCCCCGGAACATCTGGATTCGCACCGGGAAGACCCACCCACCCACGGGGAGGGACCTCGGATGGACCCGTGACCAAGGGCCCGCGTCCGCGTTCGACAGGCGAAGTTCCACGAGTTGGACGTGAACAAGGACGCGTTTCGTCGGATGTGAACAAGGTGCCTTTTTGAAAGACCCAAGACCGGGGAATAGACGAACTATAGACGAACTGTTTTTTTCCTCCCATTATTTATACATTTTATTTTCCGGAAGCGACCATGAATAGAATCCAGTTTCTTTTTGTTGTTCCGGGTTTGCGTTCTTTCAGCCCAGCGTCCCATGTTTGGCTGGGTTCTGAAACCCCACCGATCCCACCGGGCGATGTGTGTGGATTCCGCCGGACGCGGACGCGGGAGATCCGAGAAGCTCGGAGGCGCAGCTTCCATCCGAGCGGCGGAGCGCTGTTCCATCGAACGACCGGTGTCCGGTGTGTTGGGCAGGTTTTGATGATCTGCAGCCATCACACATCGTTTCCCTTGGATACATGACAATCGGACGGCTTTCTTCCTTGCTGAGAAACTGGATGTTGGGCAGGATGTTCTGGACGAGAGACTGGTTTCAACACCTTTCGATCGTCCCTTTAACGGACTTGGGGGTGTTTATCATGAGGGACCCTCCTGCATGATGGTTTCGCTCATGGTTCCTTTTTTTTGTTCAAGATGTCTACCGACTCACTGCCATATGCGCCATTTTCAGGTTTATTTTTATACTATTTGTAGGATTCCAAGACCATTAGGACAGGATAGAAAAGAGTTGACCT